TCTACTGCAGCATCTTTCAGACTTTATGGACCAGCAAACACTTTTACCGTGATGTATAATCTTGGGAGCCCCTTAAGAATAAAAATCTAATGATTTCAAAATTATTATTTTCTTTTGTTTCTCTTTGGTTCATAAAGAAGCAATTTACATTTGACATAATTTTCTTTACATCAGCATATTAGTAATGATTGGTTAATTTATTTAACTAAGAAAAAAATTTAGAGTGCTTAATAAGGGGGAGATGTGGTTCTAGACAAGGGGATGTATCAGTGAACAAAACAGGCAATGTTCCCTGCCTTCTAAAGTTGACATTCAAGTAGGGGAGACAGAAAATAAATAAATATGTATATCTTGAGTATATTTAAAAAAGAATCTTGGATGATACTCCTAATCCAAGATCCCTTAGATTAAAATTTTGCCATTTAATCAAGTAATACAGGTCAATTTACTTTAAAACAGACCAAGATCATTGTCAAAATGAAGATCATATTTCCAATGGAAACAAAAAAATTCCCCTTTTTTTTTGTATTTTACCCTGGTAGAATTTAATCTCTTTATGGATCTGTGGCATTATAATGTAATGTGGTGATAAGGAAGAAAAATTCCTTAAGAGAAGGCACATAACTTATATTTCCTTTTATTTAATCTTTAGTTGGTACACATTTATGTCCAATCTGGCCAAAGCACAATTGTAACAACAGATGATTTATTTCTATGCAATGGACAGAATGGTTCTATGCAACCATTCACAGATTTAGTGATTTTACATTTTTCAAAAACCTCAAACTGCTGTCAAAACAAAAATATAAGTAAAAGTGACTTCCAAAAAATTCAACAGTTTCTATTTGTCCCAAAGAGACTCAGACTTCAAGAAAAATCTATAATATCCAAACTCCTGCAACAAAAGTGACATATGTATGGGGTTTGCTTATGAAATTACATTTAGCATTCAGTAAGAAAGAAAAGGGTACTTTTTTGTGGCAGACATATTTTTGGTTATAGTTCGCCATTTCTGTAGTAAACGTGAAGCCATACACTTATGTAAAATCTGACTCTAAGAAACCTAAAATATAAAAGTCTGATTGAAAGTCAAAATCACAATGATCTGATTTTAAAAATTTAAGCCTTCTGAGATAGATTTTTAGAGATTTAATGAAAAATTCTGCTTAGTATTTACTTTCTTAAACTTTGCTCTTTATGGAAATCTTCAAACTCTTTTCTTGAATAAATGTGACACACCAATATTTCATACCAACATTTTTGCTTCTGTGTTACAAACGGTATATTCTAATTCTGTTGTTCTTCATTTACTAGTTGAGATATTTCTTTAATAAGAAATCTCCTCTTTGGTTCTTCAGTGGTTCAGTTCACACAGGAGAGGCAGGAAAAGTGCTTGATTCTTTCCCTTAAATTACTAGTTTTCAAAAAATGAGTTGATTCCTCCCAAGGTGGCCATTACTTTTAAAAATACCATTGTAAGCCCATGGGCTTAAACACAGGTCGTGTTTCCATCCATTGGAGTTATTATTATTATTTATGCTCCAACTGTCCCATCTTTGGCCTGTGGGAGCCTTTCTCTTCACTTTTGTGTTCTCCTGAAATAACCTTAGCAGTCACTTAGAGTTTATGGCTTCCTTGCGTTCTGGTTTGACAAAATGGACCAACCTCATGTTGTATATTCTGCTTCAAATCTGGGAAACTATTTTTAAAGGGTAATAAATCTGCATTTATTAAGGCAACTGACCCATCCAACACATTGGAAATCTAACATCTAGCCCAAGGCTTGGTGCACAGTGAATAGTTAATAAATGTTGGTCGGCTGAATAAATGAATGATTATCGCCTTCACTAGATTTTAAGTTCCTTGAGGTCAGAGACATATACTTCTAATAAGTACTTGCTTAATAGATAAAGAAGGAATGAAAGCCAACAGGTGGTACCACTGAAGTCTGTGGCAAGGCAGAACCCTAATTTTTGGTTTTCTATCACCCTCTGCTGGGGAGCAACAGGACATCGTCCTCCAGTGCCTTAAAATCTGGTATAGTGTTTCTCAAACTATGGATCCCCACCCATTAGTGAGTGGTAAATCAATTCAGTGAGTCATGACCAGAGTTTTAAAAAACTGAATTTATAATTTAATGGAAAATATCAAAGGGTCTCACACATAGTGGAGGCAAATTCTGTCATAAAGCTATATTTATAGCTGTATCTTTGTACCTATTAGCATATATATTCATTCATGTGCTACATGTATGTTTTTATGTGTGTACTGAGTCACAACCAGTGATTTGTTGACAAATGTTCAACAACTAGTTCTCTGGGGGAAAGTGTATAAGTATATATATACATACATTTATTATAAATTTTTTAATATAAAGAATGTGTTGCACATCATTTATAAATAATGAAATATGCTAATATTCTTTATTGTAAATTCCATTCAGCAAATTGATTCTCAGAGAATTCTTTCATTGATATTTGCTGAACTCTCTCATGTATAGCCAACCTAGAGTGTCAATTCAGTCATGTTTTGACAAACGGAGTTGCATCCAATCTAGACAATCAACAAACCAAATAAAGCCCTGGTTTATAGTACTTGCCAGTTTCTTTAGTAGAAATACCCCCTCCATGGCTGGTTTCAAGTTTTCACTGTGATGTTACAGAGCCCACAGTAGGGCAGAGTTGTACAGTAGCATACTATACAGATACAGCAGATGTAAGTAACCCCAAGAGCATAGATTATAATGAAATAAAGTAAAATAATCAGGAAGTGATGAGTTTTGAATATTTCTTTTGAATTTGTTAGTTTATATAATTTCATTTTTAATAATGGCTGTGCTAAACATTCAGCTTGCAAAAGTCCTGAAAATTTAACAATCTGCTCTCATAAGGCTTATATGAGTTCGCTGAGGACCACTGGACTTACAATATAAATATGTATTTCCTAATATGGCTGAAGTTTTTTTAAAAAAGGTGAACACTTCTCTAGGACTGAAAATAATTTTTCAGGGCTGGATTTAACTCAGTCTTCAACAGTCTCCAGGGATAAAGCTGCTTGGTCTTACGTGACACAAACCCATTTCCTTTCTACAAAAATCAAAGCCTGAAACTTTCAGTAGATACATTTTTGGTAGTTCCTTTGGGTGATTATTTAGAGTTTCTCTTCACCCAGCACCCTTTCGCCCATTCTTTGGTTGAGGGGATTAGCATGTGGATTTTCCCCAGGGAATCATTAGCTAGTAATGTCCAATGTACCTCCCTGTTCTTAGCGATTATGCAGTCCGCTATGGGAAATAACAGTAACTGAGCACCTGCTAACCTTCATGAGATAGAGATGGTTTCCGATACTATTTACAAGCTGCCTTCACAAATAACATCTTTCCAGTTGTGTAGTTTTTATTCCCAATCATGAAAAACCAAACTGGAATAATCACTATGTTTTCTGTCTTAAATCTAGCCTTTTCAAGGCCTGGAGACCTTGCCAAGTAAGAACTCTGATCAGATACATGTTTTTTACAGATAATGAAGATCATCCTGAGATGGTTTTAAGGAACTGACACTTTCAATCTCGTTCATTTACTGATTCTCTACATAAGAGATTTTAAACATCAGTCCACTGTATGCATAACTCAGGCCAGTGTTTCTCAAAATGTGGTAGCTATCCTTGATAAAAGGACATTAGATTATTTAAGCAGCTAGAGATGATGAATATTTCAATTGAATGTTTTATTTGTAGTAGAATAAATATAACCGGCACACAGAATCCATGATTCCATGGATGTTTGTTTGGGAGGCTACTCAGCAGGTATTTAACTTTTAAATGTGCATTGTTTAAGGAAAACTGTTAAATATATAATAGTATTGGAGGTATAGGGACATAGTAAAAGCAGTTAACATGGCTGTAACGGGTTAAACGGTGCCCCCGCCCTCCCCCCAAAAAAGGTATGCTTAAAATCTTAACCCCTGGTACCTGAGATGTGACTTATTTGGAAACTGAGTCTTTGCAGATATAATTAAGGGTCTTAAGATGAGATTATCCTGGATTTAGGGTGAACCCTAAATCCAGTAGCTATTGTCCTGGTAAGAGATAGAAGGAGAGAAGCCAGAGACGCAGAGGGGAGAAGCCCATGTGAGGACGGAGACGGATTGGAGTTATGCAGCTACAAGTCAGGGAATGCCAGGGATGCCAACAGGCAACAGAATCTAGGAGGGGCTTGGAAGAGATTCTCCCTCAGAGATTCCTGAAGGGACCAACGCTGCTGACACCTTGACTTCTGACTTCTGGATTCCGGAACTATGAGAGAATAATTCCTGTCATTTTAAGCCAATAGGTTTATGGTAATTTGTTGTGGCCATACTAGGAAACTAATACAGCGGTGAAGATATGACTCAAGACTGGGAAACTCTTGAGTCAGACACCCAGCCTTGACAAGGGGGTGAGAGGGCTTAGCTGTGGGATAAATTGAGCAACTGAAACTCCAGCGCCCTCCTCTGATCTCCCTTGACACCCAGCATGCAGCATTTTCGTTCAATACAAATAGTTGTTTTTAAAGTTAAAAAAAAAAGTATAACAATTCAAAATTTAAGTTTAGTAATTATTTTATGCATGTATTTTCTAATGAAATTTAATATCGTCATTATATCTGCATCACCATAACCAACCTCGAGAAAACCAAGACTCAGATGGAGGTGTCTCCGTCTCCAGGAGAGACTAAATGATGCTGCGACCACTGCTCTAATTCCTATAGTTCTACATTTGTTCTTTCCCACCTCCAACAAATTCTCCCACAAGCGCATTTTCCCAGATTTAGCAAGGTGCAGTGGCTGAGATCGAAACGGCCGCACTCCGAGCGTTTCTCTAGGCGGGTGAGTCAAGAGCGGTGAGGAAGTGGCAAGCTATCAGACGGACCGGCTGCAGAGGCCACCAGTGGCCAGGAGGGGGAGCGCGAGCGCTCCGCAAGGGGTGGACCCCGCGGGCCGTGCGCATGCGCCCGAAGGGAGGTGGTGGCGCCGGGCCCGGCGAAGGGCGAGACGGTGGCCGAGAAGGCACGGGAAGGAACACGGTTGCCGACGAGGTCGGGCATGGAGCATCTGGAGCGCTGTGCAAGGTGCCTTAGGGTCATGCTGGTGCGGGCGGCAGTGCGGCGCTTCCTGCCCTGGGCGCTGGCGGCCTCCATGCTGGTGGGCTCCCTCCTCAAGGAGCTCTCCCCGCTGCCCGAGAGCTACCTCAGCAACAAGCGCAACGTCCTCAACGTGTGAGTGCGCCCCGGGTCCTCTCCTGTCCCCGCCATAGCCGACCTGCGGTAGCCTGGTCCATATGACCAGGCTTAGCTGCCCGGCTGCACCAGTCACTGGAAGGGGAAGTCCTCCCAATCATGACAGCCACAACTGCGCGCTTGTCACCACCGAGGGGTCGCGGGATAGCTGGTGCCACTAGCAGTCGTGTTTGCACGCCCAAACGAGACAGCCTGAGCTTGACTGGGCAGGCAGTGACGGGGCGGGGTTGTATGTGTGTGCTTTGTGTGTATGTAGGGGTACGGGGTGGGATGAGGGGGGGCTGAACCAGCCTGTGTCGCTGTTCCCCTCACCTCCGCTTGGAATGAGGAGTTTTCCCCTGCCCTTTTTGGGAGACGCCACCTCCCTCCTGCCTGCCTGTATTAGACCCCGCGCCTCCACCCTAAATCCGATCCCCTCGGCCTGTAGTGGAATCCCATCACCACCTGCGAAAGACCTGCCTTCTTCCCCGCCACCCCAACTTTGGAGAGCCTTGTCCCAGCCTGACCCACTCCAAGACAGCCGCGGAGGACTGGAACCATCCTGTCTTTGACCTTTCCCCTGGATCACTTTGGACCTTTTCAGCCACTCAAAGTTCATGGCAGTGGCCCAGGAAAGCAATCCCAGCTGGGCTCTTTGAAACTTCTCCTTAACTCCACCCACCTACTCCTTTTTCTGTTTTTTTTTAAATTTCTGGATTTTCAGTTTATTACACAAAATATTGTTGCAGTTGTCAAGGGAAACTAAAGGATAAAGCTTGTGCCTTGTTTTGTGAGCCTAGATTCTTCTTTAGAATTATAATGTCAGCAGCATCTGTCAGAGGTCACCCCCAACTTTGGTTATCTACTTAAAACACTGGTCACTCTCCCAAAAATCTTCGTCAAAGGCCTGACAGGTTTTGGCTCCGGTAAGATGCTTGCCTATCAGTTCCAGGGAAGATTTTAGTCAGGCCTTTGGTGTCTGAGACACCTTTGGAAACTAGCAAAGAGTCATTCTGTCTTTGGCCCCCTTCCTTCCTCACCCACTCATAGAGGCTGGGCTAAGAATAGTTGGTGAGAGTGGTTGTAGCCCTATGGCTCTGGTATGTGTGTTAATTGTAGCTGGCCCCCAGGTCAGCCACCTTTGGGGAGTGCAAGGGAGGCAGACAAGGCAGCTGCTGCTTTATCTAGCCTGGGTGAGCTGGGAGCCAAGCAGCCTGGCAGACAAGTCTCTGTTGTTTTTGGGTAACCATAGATTCTGGCATTTTGTTCCAAGCCTCTGTTGCTAATTAATGGAAGGGAACTAGTGAATCATTGGCTCTGGAAGGGATTTTAAAAATCATTTGGTCCCCTCAGCTCTATTTAACAGCTGAGGAAACTGAGGCCTAGAGAAGTGTGGTAATTAGTTAACCTAGGTCTTCTCACTCAAAGCCAAGTTCTTCTGAGATCGTTTATGTCATGTAAGAAAGAGCCGTGATATAGAAGCAGCATGGGCTTTGGGGCTGGCCAAACCTTGGTTTAACCTGTGCTTGCTGGTTGTGTGAGTGTAACCCTGTTCTTGAACATTTCTGAGCTTCAGATTCTTTATAAAATGGGGCAAGTGATACCTTCCTCCCAAGGTAATTGTGAGTGTTCCATTGGGAAGTGAAGTGAGTGCTCCATGGGAAAGTGAATGTATGCGAAGGCTCCTGGCATTTGGTAGATGCTTGATGATTACTTTTCTGAGCAATAGCGTAGTGCCTAAGATCACAGACCCTGGGTTTGAATCCCAGCCCCACCACTTATGACCTCTACTCTGGACATGATTATTTTGTGCCTCAGTTTTCTTGTCTTAAAAAGTGGATAACAGTAGTACCAATCTCATGGAGTTGTTTAAGGACTGCATAGTTACTACATTTAAAGAACTTGTAGTGAAGTTACCTTAGCTTTTATCAGCTCATTTCATTTTCCCTCCTTTGAGAGTCTAGAGACCTGAGTTGTGACATCGTTTCCTTTCCACCATGTCCCATCTTCACTTCCACTTTCCTCCTCTGCCAGGTATTTTGTCAAATTGGCCTGGACCTGGACCTTCTGTCTCCTCCTGCCTTTCATTGCCCTCACCAACTACCACCTGACAGGCAAGATGGGCCTGGTCCTGCGGCGGTTGAGCACCCTGCTTGTGGGCACGGCCATCTGGTATGTCTGCACAGCCATCTTCTCCAACATTGAGCACTACACGGGCAGCTGCTACCAGTCTGCAGCTCTGGAGGGGGTCAGAAAGGAGCACCAGAGTAAGCAGCAGTGCCACAGGGAAGGGGGCTTTTGGCATGGCTTCGACATCTCAGGCCACTCCTTCCTGCTGACATTCTGTGCCCTCATGATTGTGGAGGAGATGGCTGTGCTGCATGAGGTGAAGACGGACCGAAGCCACTGCCTGCACACTGCCATCACCAGCCTGGTGGTCGCCCTGGGCTTCCTGACCTTCGTATGGGTGTTGATGTTTCTGTGCACGGCCGTTTATTTCCACAACTTGTCCCAGAAAGTGTTTGGCACCCTGTTTGGTTTGCTAGGTTGGTATGGGACATATGGGTTTTGGTATCTGAAATCCTTTTCCCCAGGACTTCCTCCCCAGAGCTTGAGTTTGAATTTGAAGCAAGACAGTTATAAAAAATGAATGAAACAACAAGGGCAATGGCAGGACAATGACTAATATATTTTTCATTTATTTTTCTTAGTTATTTGATTAAATTATTGATACCAGTTCAGAGAGGAAGCTAACCAGGCAATTTGGGTGGGTGGTGGGTTCAGTCCCCAGTCATCTTGGTGACATCACCTTGTGTCACAAGCACCACTATTCCCAGTCAAGCACTCTCTGTCCCTGGCAAAACTTGACATTAATCCGTAATGTCCCTTTTATCCCTAGAGGCTCAGTGAGAGGATAGAATCAGGAAAGCCGTTCTTGTGTGGCTGAAGGAGGGGCCAGGGCCTCGGGACTCTTCTCTGTTGCCGAACTTCCTGATTCTAGTTGTCTTTTGTTTTAATGGTTGCTGATGTGGTTGCTTAACCATATTTCCCTCTGGTCAGTTTTGCCTAAGCATTGATTTCCAGAAGGATTCTTTTATAAAACAACCAACCACCTGAAAGACACACTCTCACTGTAGTATTTATTTCATCCATGAAATGTTAAATATTGCAACTGGCTTCTGATTAGTTATCAGAACAGTTAAGCAGGAGTGCCTCTGTGACTCAGTATTGGATGATTTTTATGTAATGATCATTGCTGATTTTCTGTCCATGTTGTCTATTATATATTAGTTTTTGGAGCAATAAGGTACATTTTTTTTCTCTCTTTTGAATGAATGTTTTATAGTTTTTAATACAACTATGACATTTGTTCTTTGTTAACAAAACTGAAAATAACTCATAATCTCACCACTCTAGTGCTGCACTTTGACATGTGTGTAGATAGCTTTGAGGGTTTTTTTAGAACACTAAGTTACTTTTTATAAACCAAACTTTTGGCCTGTGTTATTAAATTCCACCTCTTGGGGCCATTTTCTCTGTCAATAAAATCAGAAAGCAAACATTTTAATAATAACTTGATGAATTTTAAGCTGAGTCAGAGTAATTTTGCAAAAACGCATATTTGCACTGAAATTTTCCTGACTGCATATCAGTGGTATAGACTGAATAGTGTGCTTCAGGGTCATGTGAGTAGTACATTGATCAATCTGCTGTGGCCCAAGGCATGTTTACCTTTTGGACAAGACTGGTAAGTCAGAAGGGAGGAAAAATGTCTTCCATTGCCTCTGATGGCAAGCAGCCAATCTGTTTGTAAAAATGTCCTTACTAAACGGTGGCAAGACTTGGGCCCCACCCCCCTCTCACCTGTACCACCACCAAAACCAAACCAAACCTGGGCCTATTCAGCTGGCCTGGAAATCCACCTTTCCGCCCTCCTTCACAGTACTTCTCAATGCCCAGCCTCGTCCTTCTGTGGCCTTCACTGTGGTGAGTCCTGGGAAGGGTTAGAAATCCCATCACCTCCACCCTGCAAAGGCACAGTTACACCCTGGTGATAAGCTACCCCACCCCTATCCCAGGTTATCTCCTTAAGCCTTTCAAACCAAGCATCTTGATTTTGCATTATCATCCTCGACACTTCTTGATGCCCCTCCCACCCCCAGTCAAGCCTGATAATAGCATTAACTAGTGAGCACTACACTTGACCGCCTAACTCCAGCTTAGGTTGTTAGGAACTTGAGGTCAGGAAGAATTTTCAGGGTAACTTGTATTTCATATAATACACAGTTGGTATCCCATCTGGCTGCAGGTTAACAAATCCATCAGAATGTGAGATGTGATACATTGAACCCAAGGGTGGCAGAAACACCTGCACTGAGATTTCAGAGGTGTCACCACGGTGCTTTGGGAGCATTGGCCAGATGTGCTGGGCTCTGTGAGAATATTTTTGCCTCCTGAAGTTCAAAACTGGGAATGGAAGTGGGGCTGGAATAGGCTTGTTGAAGGAATTGAAAGCTCTCCTAAGTTTCATGTTCAGCACCAAAATGCAGTAGGCATGGATGACCAGATGTTTGTTTGTCACACTTAAGCCTACAGACATTTCTCCCATGCAGGTCTGATTCCGACTGGCATTAAATTAACAAGGTGGAAAGTGTCAGTTCCTGAGCCTGTGTGTTGATCAGTCTTCCACCACTTCCTGTTCAGTCTTAATGCCCTTGCCTCGCCTTTTTCTTGGGCAAATGCTCTATCCCTATGTGAGACAGCATGTTATAACTGAAAGGGTTGGGGCTTAGGTAAATGTGAGCTGTGGGCTCAAATCTTGGCAGCACTACTGAGAGGTGTTTGACCATGGGCAAGGCTCTTTTTCCTCATCTGTAAATGGAGATGATACTGTTAGGTTTAAGGGAAATGATGTGTGTACAATGCCCAGCCCATATGCTTAGCAGTCGATAATCCCTGCTTCCTTTTTTTGACTAAGCCTTTAGAATTTTTGGCTCCTCTAATGAAAGCAGAGAAACTAACATCATCTTTCAAGTGCCACCTGAGGCCTGGGTCTCCTGTTGAAATAGTCTTGTATTGTCCTTTGGAAAGTGTCTATTGTCCCCAGGTGCTGAACAAGAGGCTTTGAGGGCATCTGTGATCACAGAACACTACCAGGCTTGTTTTCCCTCTGTGTTGAGGTTCATTCGCTGATGCCTCATTTTCCACGTGCATCTGTCATAGTCTGAGTACCAGATTGTATTTAGAGAATGACTCTTGCCACTGTTATGTACACACAGATCATGTGTGTAAACAAGCAAATTAAGTAAACTGGAGATAATGAAATCCTACATACCGGCATTTCTTGTGTTCCTTTCTCAAACTGTGAAGGAAGTCCAGAACCAGGAAAGTTCAGTGCCTTTATGAAATGGGTTCATAAAGTTGTATTTGCATAATTCTTACTTGAGCTACTCATTATACATGAGGTATTGCACAGCTATAGTTACTCTTATTTTCTCCCTGAGTCCCGTGAACTGAGTATGTGCTCCGTCATATATTTGTTAGCTTGATTTACTTCTTCCTCCTGTGCTGTATCCATGTCTGAGAGTCCTAAGGTCTGGATCAGCCATATTTGGGAGCAGTTTTCTTGGCAGAAGGAGAAAAGTTAAGCCTCATGGAAGTAATAGTAATACTACTATCTGACAAAGAGTAGTCAGCCTGACCTGCTTGGCACTTACAGATAGTGTCTGTTGAAAGCTCGATGGCTCCAGGATTAGAAGCTCCTCCAATGCAAAATTTTCCTGGTCAGATTCCTTCAGCAGCAACAGACCCTTCTTGAGTTCATATGGTGAGCCAGGAGCTGGGGGGGTAGGATGATAAACTCCTTCTGGCATGTAGTTTGTGGTCCAGAGTCTGTCCCCTCAAAGCTTAAGGTGTGTGCTGGAGTTGAAAAGGTGAATCTGTTACAGTTGTTCATTCAAGGAATTTTTACTCTTGTGGAGAAGACACATAAGGAGCCAGCAACCACTGTAAAGTGTCCTAAGTGCCAGATTAAGGTCAGGACCAGGGAACACAGAGCAGGGGACAACCAGTTGCCTTGGGAAACTGGGGATATTTTCACAAGAAGTGACAATTCTTTTGGGCCTGGAAAGATGAGGAGGAATTGTAGCAGTTAGGCAGAGAAAGGGTATCCAGGGAAGTGAGAACAACATGTGCAAAGGCACATACATGTATTACGATTTTTTATTCTGATATCCCTTCTCAAGGAAACTAACTTCCCCCTCATTTTCAAGAGCAACAGAGATTAACTAAAGGCAAATTTAAAGGACTGTCAGTGGAGATCATGGATATACCCTGTTGTAATATAAAGGGCACTCAGCCAGAACAACATTTAGTAAAATCAGAATACTTGGCTTAGAGCTGGGTTCTGCTAGTGTTTTTTCTGATTTTCTGTGTGACCTTATATTAGTCACTCAACATCTCTGGGCCTCAGTTTCCTTATCTGACAAATGATGGGTGTGGACTGGATACTCTTACCAACTCTTCTATTCTGTTTCTCTGTTTTGTGTGATAAAAAGTTCTTCCTAAGCTGGTAATGACTTTTATTTTAAGAAACAACATGAAAAGAAACTCCCACTCAGCTGAGGTGGAAGCTGGTTTCCCCATGAGTGATGGGGAAGCCAACCTCTGTGCACTTTATCACAGCACCACCCTTACCCCACTTTTCTCTGTATCAACAGCCCGATGTAGTTCAGATAGGATTGCATGGGTTCATATGGACTTACTGGACATGGGGAGTTGTGAGCCTAGTTCCCAGGGCGATGAACTGCAGAAGGTTTTTTTTGAAGTCTCCAAAATCGAACTAGTTTTGATAGCTGTCAAGGAGAAGGTAGGTTCTGTTAAGGTAAGCCCTGTGCAGTAGAGTAACCTTAAAAAATTGTCCCAGAAACCTCTAATACTCTCATACTTTGGGGAGAGGGGAGCTAGTAAATTTGTACTGCATGTTTAAATGGTAACTTACAATGACAATGTGCAGATCCACCAGTATTGGTCTAGGGATTTGGGCTATGGAAATGCTTTGTACTTATGCAAAGATATGTACAAAGATTTTATTGCAGCTATTTGTAATAGAAATCATCATTATGTATTAACAGATTGGAATTTCTATATTGCCAACGCATGGTAATGCTATAGTAAGAATGTAATGCAGTTACTGTGAAGCATAAATGATGTTATATTTAGTATAGAATCTGGAGGCAGAAAGCCTTGGGATCATGCTGACTATAACCTAAAGCTGTGTGCCCTCAATTTAGCCAGTTTCTCTGAGTCTCTGTTCCTGATGTGTAAGATGGGGATGACAGTGCCTCACTTCACTGAACATTCACTACACGATATTTGAGGAGCATCGAGCAAACCAAGCACTTCAGCAAACTAGGCACAGCGTTAGTTCAGAGACACAGTGCCTTCACGGGGTTTACTGTCTAACTGGGAACCCAGACAATGGAATGAGCAACTCCAAACAGTGCTGTACAGGGCGCAGCCCAACCTACCTTGATGTCACAGCCCAGGCAGAGATGATTGCTGTTTAGTCAGAGTTGTTTTGAGGATTAAATTAATTGATACTTGTGAAGTGCTTAGAACAGGACTGAATATATGGGAAGTGCTATATAGAACTTTCAAGTGCATAGTAAGTTCCTAATATGCCTTCATTACCATAACTTACTTTAAAAAGTCAAGGAAAAGAAATGCTGTACATGTCAGCATTACCATTTTGATCAACTCAGAAGTAATTTAATTATATAGTCAATGAATATAGAAGGCCATGTCCCAGTGACCTAGCATGGGACTGGAGTCTCTGAGACTGCGTTCTGGTTTCAGGGTTAATTAGGGGATGAGGGAGAATAAGAGAGGTGATTCCCCTGAGAGCTGTTTACATTTATCTATAGGGTCCTTATAGCCAAGGTCCCCTATTTGAGGTGCTGTCCACTCACAGGCAAGCTAAGGGCTGCTTACTTTCAGGGGCAGGGCTAGGAGCCTTGTCCAGGAGAACTGATGCTCCCCCTGTCTTCTCTGCCAGGGTGCGGCTGCCCAAGGTGTGTGTCTGAGGTGGCTGAATGCCTAGGAGGTAAATAGGTGGGGGAGCACGGGAGCCACCCCTGATTAGCATCTTAATTTCTGGAGCAAAATCACTCAGGCCCTGCCCTAGCAAGCTGCCATCACCCACTTACTTCCCAGTCCCTCTTCTTCTATCCCTTCTTGCCTTCTGCTTGCATTGCCTGAGCATGCTGCCCCAGAGAGCCTGCTCCTGGGAGATGCAAGGGTGAGTGGGTGGGGACATGAACTTACTCTCACCTGGAGTTATTAGAAGCTTTGGACTAAAGCACATGGACTGTGTTCAATTTCTGCTTATCAATTCCTCAACTGTGTGGTCTTAGGCAAGTCAGTTAGTCTCTGTGGACTTGTTACTCATCAAGGAAGTGGGGACAATACTTTCTACCTCATAGTATTTGATTGGCTCAGTGGAATCATGGATGGGAAGATATTTTATAAGCTTTAAAATATCAGGCACTAAAGAGATTTGTCTTTGAAGAGATTTGTCTTTGTCTAATCAATGTCTCCCTCAGAAGCCTGGACACTATAACTCCTACAAGTCCCCAGTAACACTGAAATGACATGGTATCATCAAAATAATTTTTAAACAATGCAACATTTAGTAAAATCAGTAACAACTAACATTTGTTCTGAATTTTTAAATCTAGTGCCTGGCATTTTTACTGTATTATCTCAACTATAGTTCCAAACGACCTAGGCCATAGAGAAAACAGGAAGGGCTTTGGCTTCTAGCACATTTGGCTTCATATCCCAGCTCTGTTCCTGTGCTAGCTGTTGCTTTAGTAAAGCTTTGTAACAAACCACCCCCAAACTTGCTGGCTTAGGACAACAGACGCTCCCAGGAATTGCAGTTTTGCTGACATGGGCTGGCCTCAGCTGGTGAGCTCTGCTCCAGGCCATGGGTAGGTGGGACTTGACTCCAGGCCACAGGCTAGGCTCAGACCTGTTCTACTTTCATTCTTGGGGTCCAGACTAAAAGGGCAGCAACTAGCTGGGGCCTGCTCTTCTTGAGCAATCACAGGGGCATCCACGCCTAAGCCAAACTGTGCAGCACATTAAAGCCTCTGCTTGCATCACATCCTTCCTCTAACACCTTACTGGCCCAAGCAGGTCGTAGGGACAAGCCTGGCATCCGTGGGGCAGGGAAAAAACCCCACCCACAGTGGGAGGTGCTACAGAGTTACTTGGCAAAGACTGGATGTATAATCCTACCAGAGAATCAAAGAATCCAGTCTATCTTTTTACCTTAGTACTTGGAGCCTCTGTTTCCTATCAGTGAAACATAAAAACCTATGCACTTAGAAATAATTTATATGAATTTCCTAGTACATAGTAAGCACTCAATGGATGGCAACTGTTATTATCATCAGCTCCATTTTAGAGGTGAGAAAACTGAGGCCTTTAGGCAATGTGGGCCCAGGTTACTAGAAAAGGACCAAACAGGTCTTCAAAGATGTGTCAGAGTGACCTGGACTATCTTTGAAAGTGACTTTGGAAGGGAGGAGTTGATAAGCTGAAGAATATTGGACCTTCAGTGGCCCTTACTGTCCTCTACAACAGGAATCCTGTGAATGCTAGAGAGACATTAACAGTGTAGATTCTGAGATTCGATTCATAGGTAGGAGGCTTATCAAGGGGTGCTCTTGGGAAGAGGGGCGAGATGGGCAGAGAGAGAACGTCAACTGTGATAGTTACTATAGTACCTCAGCTGATCCCATAGGGAGCTCTGGATCTGGAATGTCCCTTCAGTGGTGTCCTGAACTGAGGCAAGGGAACAGACTTTTCTTTTCTCATATGTACCAGTCATTGGATGCAAACCGCCCTTGTGGAAGTGGATTGAGCTTGAGTGAGGAGGCCCCCTTAGCAGAAGCAGTTCCCCGAGAGGGACTCAGTTGAGAGCTGTCAACCGCCAACTTCCCCAGTAACTGGGGCACAAAAGCCTCAGCCCTGGAGGGTATATGGGGGTGACATGCCCCAGGATCCACTGCAACAGTAATATTAAGAACCCATGCAGCTGTAACAATAACCACAACAATGGCAATGTGTCACAGATGTATAGCATTTAGTAGCTTACAAAGGCATCATCACTTGTTATTTCCTCAGAGTAATCTTTTGAGGTAGAGTATGAATTTTTAACCCTGTATTTGAGGAGAGGGACCTAAAGTTCAGACAGGACAGTGTGTGCGAGGCAACGTCCTTTGCCTCTGAGCTGCACCCTTACTATTCCACATGCTCCCGTGTATCACATGGATGGGAAGTCTGCAACATACATTTCTCATCCTGCTTCCCTTCAGGTTCTGCCAATGCAAGACACTGGTGGCGGCTGAAGCAGGTGAGAGGAGGCAGGTCATACAGAGTTAAGTCCATCCTGACACTCCTATCTCAGAGGAAAGTGCCTGGAACTCCCCACCAGCACCCCACACACACTAGACTAGTTGCATTTCTGTAAAATGGATGGGTCTTGAGGGAGGATTATATCCTACTGTGAACTTCATCAGTTAGTGATTCAAACTGCAGCTCCCTTCAGGTGTGATTTCTTTATTAAAGCAGGCAACACAGGCTTACCCACAGCAAGCTCTTTAGCTAATACCACCACTGAGTGCCCACCTTGCACAGAATTCCTGATTCTGCACCCTTCCCCAGAGGAATTAGCCGCCTAGTAGCAGGTCAATTACACTGAGTCCTTCCCATCTGAGAGGGAGCAGCAGTTTGTATATTCTGTGGATGGATTTGACTTCTTTGACCACCACCTCCATGGACACCTTGGTTCCAGTGTTGGTATTCTATACAACATTGCTTCTGACCAACGAGTTGGTATTACAGCAAAAGAAATGAAGCAGTGTGATTATGGAGTTTTCTGGATATGGAATGTGGAATTCTATGGTCTGGGTGCTCTGTTATCTAGAAGGAGCTAGACTTAAAGAACATTGAAATGGCATCTTGAAGACTCCATTATAGCAGCAGCTGGGAGACACTGGATTTTGGGGTGCTGCCCCTCAGGATGTGGTATATACTTTGTACCAACCACAGTGCTGTTTCTCCCACACCCAGAAAACATAGCAATGCTGAGGGGGGCATGGCTACTCTCACTATTGCACTTAATAACCCATTCACAAAACTATTGCTTCCTGTCCCTGAAACTTTGGACTTTGATGGTTTAGAGATTATAGTTCCCAAGGGAGGGATGCTTTTGTCAGGGAATACATCAGTGGTTCAGCTGAGTGAGAAGCTGGGACAGCCACCTGGCCATTTTGAGCTCCTCATATCTGAGACTGCAGGCAAAAAGTAGGTTACTCTGCTGGCTAGAGTTATGGGTTCTGATCACCAAGGGTAAATGGGGTTGCTGCTACAGTGCAGCATGGAAGATTCTGTACGGGAGCTAGAAGATTCTCTGGGATGCCCCTGGTACTTCCATATCCAAATTAAACTAACAGAAGACCACAGCAACCCAGGGATGACCAAAGTCTGAATCATCTCAGAATAACTGGTGGAAAAAAAGAGAAATTGTAAATATCAACAATGGTCTTGGGATCAATTGCAGAAATGAGAACTTCAACAGTTATGAGTATTTTCTACCTTGTTTTGTGCGTGCACACGCTGTATATAAGGAATTTCAGTGATGTTGAGTGGACATTTGAATCTGTGTATCACAGTATATTGAGGTATGATTGTGATCTCTAGAACTAGAGGAGGAATGAGGGCCAGCATCCAGAGTGGTGTTGCTGACTGATAGGGCTTTGTGGGTCTCATTTTTGGAGAGAGGGTGAGTATGCCCTCATTTCAGGGGAACAGTTGACCCCATTAGGGTTAAGCACGCTGTTAACTGTTTTCGAATGGAGTTTAATTATGAGTGGGGTGGTCTCTGGCCATTTGAAGAGACAAAGGGGTGGACAGTGCCCCATGGTATCTGTGGCCTCTGAGTTTCACACTTGCCCTGTCTTGGCCCTAGCTATTTTTTCTTTTCATCTGGATGAGAAAAATGGGCATTCATATACATGTTTGCAAAATAAATAAACTAAACCTGATGTTCCACAAATTATACTTCTGGTTTAATGTTCTTTAGACATTTTAACACATTTTTTTCCTCTGGGAAATTGTGGGGGCATATGCCCTGGGTACATCCCGAAGGCCAGTGTACAGGTTAACACGAGCAAGTGGTTGTGAACATGATCTGTGAACTCTGAAGCACTGAGTCCAAGTGAGGTGTGTTTATGTCATAGTCAAAACTTTGCAGCCTATCTAGAAGTCTTCCCTGGAACCAGCACCTTGAGACCTAAATTCAGCTCTTGTTTGCCCTTGCAGAGCACTGAACCTGAACCTCACGCCTCTATCTCTCTGGTTACACACTTTGGAAATGAGAGCTGGATGGGTGGACAGCACAGGTTTAGAAATAAAAAGCAACTGCTCCTCCTGGATGCTTTATTGGGGCTTTCAGTGGTTTCTAAGCATGAGCAGCAGTGACACCTGGACCCTCTCCCAATATGCAAAAGGCACAGGAAAGTGAGACATGACCAGGGTGGGCAACGTGGATACAGAGACCCCCCTGCGTGGCATGGTGGGGCACTGGGGGAGCCCCACAAGTGATGGGAAAGGGGGTCATTAAAGGAGATGGCTTGGCAGAGGCTGGAAGAGGGGCTTGAGGTCCATCCACATCCAGACCCACCCCTGCACTCGGGCCAGGACCTTCTGAGAGGTCAGCATGGATTTTACTGAAAGTCCACCTCACGTGGTGGGAGAACTCAACTCCAGGCGGGGAGAGGATGGTGGATGCTGCCTTCAGGGACTTCCGGCCGAGTGCCAAACCAAACACACCGGCGTATGGGGAGGGGATGACAGGTGTGCTCATAGTGCCAGGCCCAGACACAGCCTGGCATTGAATGCCACTGTCAACCGTTGTCACAGTCCATGTCCAGGAGAAGAATGAAGCCCCTTCTGATCTTCAGGGGCCTCCCATGGGGTCTCCAGGTCTCCAGCCCCACCCAGAGGTCCCGCTTAGAAGAGCAGAGTCTTGATGTTGGCTTTGTCCTGTGGAAGAGTTCCCTGGGCGAGAGGGAAGGGGAAGGGAGGGGTCAGGCCCTCTGAGCACCTAGCCCCTCCCAGAATCTGGGCCCTAGGGGATGAAACAGCCTGGGACTCACCTCAGATCCTAACCAGTCCCCACAGTTCCATCCTGGACCTTGAATCGAAAGAAAAGGCATTCATACTGTTTCCGTCTCTCTCTCTCACTTGCTCCTTTTCTCCTTTAGTAGAGCCATGGCCTCAACTCACGGCATTGGCGATGTCTACTTCTAAACTATGGAATGTTTTCACATTGACGACAGAATTACTCCGAACAAGGGGTGGAAGGGGCTGTCCACGTGTTCATGAGACAGTGCAAAACTGAGAGCTCACTGGGAATCACAGCACAGACACCAACAGTCAGACACCAAGCCTGGGTCGGCTCTAGATGTATTTTTTCTTGAGGTACCAGTAGGCAAAGTAGCCCATCCCACCCAGGGAGCCCATGAGGAAGGACGCCCCAAAGAAAGATGGGGGTTTCCGCTTGACCAGCCGGAACGCATTGGGGATAACGGCCGACAGCAGGGTGGTGTGGATGTCACCGAGAACTTTCCGGAAGGCCAGGCGCCTCTGGACCCTCTCGAAGAAGGACTGCAGGTTGGGCCGGCTGCCATCTTCCCAGTATTTCTTGGACAGTCCCAGGAACTTGAGGCGGTGCAGGGTGGCCCCCAGGAGGACATCAGCGAGGGTAAAGGCACAGCCACAGAGCCACAGCTCACATTTCTGCCCTAGAGTGGGAGAAGATTTGGGGGTGGGGCCAGCCTTTCTCCCCCATACACTCACTGCTTTCTTGTGACTCATCTGGCATTTGTCTGCCTGCTATAGTGTTTCCCAAGGTCAGTCACTGCTGTACAACTTTCATGATTTTTGCCATATGCTTATACTACCTCTATTTTTTTCCTTAAATCAACTGACTTTTAAAGTGCAAATACATGTATTCAAACTCTAGACTCATATATCTAACTGCCCATTTTACAGCTCCACTTTGGTGTCTACTGTGCATTTCAGATGCCACATGTCCACAACCAAATCACTGATTGTCACCCCAAACCCACCGCACTCATCCCCATGTCAGTCACAGCATGTCCATCCTTCCAGTCCATCAGGCCAAAAGCCCCATGCCGTGTCAAATGCTTCTCTTTCTCCCACATCTCCTATACAATTTGGCAGCAGTTCCCATTAGCTTTATCTTGGGAATACACTCAGAGTTTGATGTTAACACCACTGTTACCTTCCTGGTCCAAATAGCCATTATCTCCTACCTGAAATACCACAGTGTCCCCTTAAAAGGTCTCCCTGCTTCTGCCTTTGACTCCCCAGAATCTATTCTCAGTACAGCAGCCAGAGTGATCCTGTTAAAATCTAAGCCAGATCATGCTCAAAGCCCTCGAATGACTCCCTGTCATAGAGTAAAAGGTGGAGGCCTTCCAATGGCCTAGGGGTGATCTGGCCCCAGGTATTTCAGACCTTGTGTTCTACTTCTCTCCCCTTTAACTCATTGTTCTTCAGCCGTCCCGGCCTCCTACCTCGGGACCTTTGCACTTGCTGTTCCCGCTGCCTGGAACAATCTTTTCCCATAGCCACGGGGCTTACTCCTCTACCTTCACATTTTTACTCAAATGCCGTCTTCTTGGGGGACTTCACTGATCACCCATCTAAAATTGAAACCCCAGCCCCAGGAGCCACTACCCTCCTCCCCTGCTTTGTTTTCTCCCATACAACTTGTCCCCATAATTACACGACATCTTGTGCATGCTCCTTTTGTTTCTGAGCGGTCACCCTTTACTAGAAGGAGGCTCCACAAGAGCAAGAATTTTGGTCTGCCTTGTTTGCTGCTGTGTCCCCTGCACCTGGGCCTGTGCCTGGCTCAGTTCTTTACTGAATGACTGATGGAAGAAAAGAGAAACTGCATCATTAACAGTATCCTTTGCCATAAACTACATGCAGGGATAAAAGCATAACAAAAACAAAACAAATGTTATTAAATTCCTGCTGGATACTACTGCCCACCAAAAATCTGAGACCAAGTCTTACCTTATTTGTTAGTTTAAGGAAAAGGGCAGATATTGACACTTATTATAAAGGGGTTATATACTGGGATAATACTAATACTCTTCCTTTAAACAAAAGAATTAAAAGAATAGCTTAGTTATTAATAACTGATAGTAAGTTATTCTTACTATGTGGTTTCATATTATTTATCACTGTGGTCATATACCATCTAAAATTAGCCTGAATATATAGGAAACGCTTGTGTAACATGTTTCTCCCCGTCATTTAGACTTGAAACTCTGGAGTTACTTTGTTCTCCTACATCATCTCTTTGCTCAAAAGCCCTCATTCTCCTCACTATCTATGAGTTAATGTCCAAATTTCTTTCCCTGGCTTTTAAGCGTTTTCCATAGTTTATCTCCAATATATATTTCTCTAGTTCTGACTTCTCATGAATTGCCCGCCTATCCACTGTTCCCCCCCAAGCAGGCCTCACCCATTTTGGCCTCTGGGCCTTTGCCCCTACTGTACCTCATGCCTGGAATGCTTTTCCCTCCATTTTCACTTCTGTGAGATCTGCTTTCCTGGAAAGCTTGCTTCTGCACCTTTGAACTGGTGTTCCCTTCAGCTTAGAAAGTCCATGTGTCTAATGCCCTCCACCATAAGCCTAAGCTTCCTCTGCCCATTTCACTCTGTTTTCTTGTTCATGCATTTATTCATTCATCCAACAAATGTCTGTCTGGTAGTATGTGCTGGGCAAGAAGTCATGATAAGATGCGATGTTTTCCCTCAGGAGATTCACAGTTTCGGGGGAGGAGGAGGTAAAGTATAATGAATTCAAGAATTAGAATTTCTTGAATATGTAACCTTCAAGATGCTTACTAGATATCCAAGGGGAGGGATGAGTTGGCAATTAAAGGTACATGTGCCTAGTTCAAGTGTGCATTATCAGCATGGAGGTGGGATGACATCATCAAGGGAGTACATGCAGACAGATCTGAGAATAAGACCAAGGGCTGGGCTTTGGGGCTTCAGGATTTAGATATTAGGCAACAAGGAGAAACCAGCAAATGAGCATAAGGAATAGCCTGTGAAGTGGGAGATGTACCAGGAAACCATGGTGTCCCGGAAACCAAGATAAAAAGTGTTCCAAGGACTTCTGCTGCAGAGGTCAAATAAGAGAGGGCCTGACAATTCTGATTGCATCTGGCGACTGGTGACCTTGACAAGAGCAGGTGGAGTAGGTGTTGATGATGAAAGCTGGGTTGGAGGGAGTTCGAGAGAGAAAGGAGGAGAGGAATTGGAGAAGGTGAGAAAGATCAAGGAGTTTTCAAGTTTTGCTGTAATGGGTAGGATACGCCAATAACGTGAGGCAGGTCAAGAGTGTTTGGGAGGAAACAACCAGCATGTTGGTGGCAAGGGTCTAGCAAAAAGGGGGAAATGATTCTATGGGGAGAGAGTTGCTGGTGTGACATGGATGAGTGTGGATGGCGTCTAGTACACAAGGGAGGGACTGAGCTGGTTCAAGGAGAGTGTGGTACTGCATTTCTTCAAATCTATGTTGCTATCAAGTATAAGACATCCATCCTAGAGAGAACAAGTGATACCAATTAAACTATTGATTGTGAGGATGTTCCAATTTCAGAGATGTTAGATGTTAACAAAGATGCATTTTAGAATTGATAAAATATGGTGTATGTACGGACACGAATACTGGTGGGTGGGTGGCTATGGGGTCAAAGCTACAGTCTTTTCCTTTGCTTCTATTTTCTCAGTGATACAGAAAGAAAATGCCAGTTAAGTGTGAGGATGTGGGGGAAGTAGTTAGAGAGTTGAGGAAAAGGCAAAGGTATCAATAGTCATCTAGAGAGGGGACAGTGGAAGGCCTCGGGCTGCAAGGAGGCCATCTAAGGCTAGGGATTGTGAATTCAAAGAGGAGTGGGGGTAAATGTTACCCAAGGCAGGTTCAGCGGTGCCCCAGTGGGTGACCAAGCCATACAGACCATGTGGGTCCAGCCAGTCAGAAGTTTAGAGCCCATAGCCACCTTCCCTGCTGTACCCCCATCACCAGAGGGACACAAGGACTGCCCACAGGCTCCGTCTTGTACAACCCCAGTCATCTTGCCGTGGGGCAGTGCGATGCTGCCTCCTCTTGGAAGACCTCAGGACCAACACAGGGAGTGGGGGCAGGAGGCTCCCAGTCCAGGAATCACCTGAGGAACGTGTGTCCACAGCTATTCTTCAGAACCATCAGCTCTGGCCCCCACCCAGGTCCCACCCTGCATCTCCCTCGAGCATCACAGTCGCTGATATTTGTGGACACTGCCACACCATGCACCCAGATGTGCTTGGCCCCTTAGGTACGTGTTCTCAGTGACGCTCACAATAGCCCTGTGAAGGTGGTGCTCATCTTACCAGCCTTTCACAGAACATAAGACATGCCAGAGGTAGTACGTAAGAACTCAAACTCTGGGATCCAGGGTTTGAATCCAGGCTCCACCACCTCTGTCTGTGTGACCTTGGGAAGTTCACAAGTTTCCTCATCTGCTAAATGGAGTTACTCAGATTACTATAATACATGGAGCCAAAATATATCCCTGAGCAGGGGAAGGGTGAGATGGTGTGGTGGGCAGTGGTCACCACCACCACCACCATCATCTTTACCAACCTTTATTAAACACCTACTGGGTGCTAAGTACTGATCTGAGCACTCCACATGTATTATTTCATGCTGTGTCTCAACACCTCTCTGAAGTAGTTATTATTACTATCCCCATTTTACAGATGGTAAATTAAGTTCCAGGGAGGTGAAGTACCTGACCCGCGATCACTCAACTGCTGAGTGGCCAAGTTAGGACTTAAACTTAGGTCTGTCCGACTCCATGGCTCCCGACCCTAACCAGTCTGGAGGTCCTCTGGGACCCTGGGGATTAAGAGTCTGGAACTGGGCAGGGGCAGGTGGGCTGGGTGGGCTCCAGCACCCGCCTACCCCGAGCCGGCACCCACCCTCGTTCTCCAGCTTCCTCTTCTCCAGCTCAGCCTCGATCTGGTCCAGCACCATGGCCAACTCCCCGAGGATCTTCTTCAGGTAGCTCACGTCATCGTGCTCCAGGATCTTGGCCTGGGGGCGGGACAGGCAGGAACCAGGGCTGGGTTGGCCTGAATAGAGCCCAGGTGGTGGGTAAAGGAAGGAGCTTGGCTCAAACCCTCTTCAGCAAACCCAGCCTCCAAATATCCCCTCAAGTGTGTAAGTGCCCCTCTATTACAAAGCGCCCTCATGTGGCACTCATAAGGCTCCCGTGAGCTGGGCAGTCCTGGGCAGAGGCCTTTCACTTCCTGGGGCTGGTGCTCCCGAAGACCAGCTGCTGTGAACACTGGCAGACAGCCTCTCGTTGTCGGCCCTTCTCCAGAGAATTGCTCTCGGCCTGAGTTGCTGCCCAGAAATACTTGGGATATTATCTCCCTGCCCCTCATTCCCGCACCGGGAAATCTGTAGCCAGTGACTGACTGACACAGGTGTGAAAGGCTGGCCCCTTTTCTCAAGGCAGATTGATGTTGTGGTGCCATTCACGCTCGGGAGCTCCCCGCGGGATCAGGTGAACTTGGTTCCTTCCTCTTTCCTATCCCTCTAATCCTTTCTGGGACCCCCTCAGAGCACTCCTTCAGTCCCATACTTACCCAAGAGCCTCTGTCCAGTGCTCTGTTTTTAGGGGCACAACCTAAAACGTGAGGAGACTGAGGCTCCATGGGGACAGTGGCTTTCCCAAGGTCAAGTAGACAGTAAATGACAGAAGAGAAAGGGCCAGAGAACCAGCCAGTGGTTTTCCCATTTCATCTCATCCATTGATCTTCTATTAGAATCAGTGCCTCCCAATTGTTCTTTTCCATGGGAAGATGGTAGGCAAGGGGAATGAGCAGGCCAGGAGGCACTCACCATGAGCTTCTTCTGCTTAGAAAGGTAGGGCTCAGAGAGCTGTGGCTCTTCTTCGTGGTCCAGCTTCATGAGGTCTGTGGTGGCATTGGCTAAATGTCCTGGGGAGAGAATAGGACAGGTCCTTTCCTGACACCTGGTGTCACCTTCCCCCACACAGCTTGGAGTAGGTCCCAGACACTGGCTTGCAAAGTACCAATATCAACAGCCAACCTTAGTAGACACTATGTCACTACAGGCTGGGACATAGGGATGGATGCAACACCATCCTGCTCTAGGCTCAGGCTAGTGGGAGAGACAGTCACATAAAGAAATCTCAATGAAACAGCATGTCCATCCTCTAGTGAAGAGTGCACAGAATGCTGTGGGACCCAGAGGGCCACCTGCCTGGGACGCAGGTGTCAAGAGACCTTGCTGAGGAGGACACTGTACTCTTGGGGATGAGTAGGAAATTTCCAGAGGCAGATTTAATCCTAGACTTGAACAAACTCATGTTTCAGGGAACGTCTCCTCCCACCCCTTTCTGTAGTGAGGAAGTAGGTTCAGAGTGGCTAAGGAACATTCTACACTAGTAAATGCCGAACAGGTTTCAAACCTGGATCTGTCTGATGCTCAGCCTATGGCTCACCCCCTGTAGCCCACAAGGAAAAACGTGTTTAATGCAAGAAAATCTATATGAGACCTTTGGTGTCTTGAAACTTTCACTTGTGGGGAGGCAACTTCCCTGAAGAGTTAGGGATTCAATTACCCATCTTTCCCAGGAAAACTGTCCTTTTAAAGAAGCCAAAAAGACAGGAGTGATGGAGCATGGGTTGATGATAGAATTCAAGGCAGTCCCTTGAGAATTATTCTCACTGGGAGAGAGGAAGTGTCCTATAATCTAACTTTGAAAGTCTAACTGTAGCCTGTTATATCTACTATATCAAATCTTATGATTTAGGCACTAAAAAAGTTTCATCAAGCATCTTATTGGTCTCACTGATGGATGGTAAACTATTTTTTATTAAATTTTATGAACTTTATTTGAACATGCAGGTATTCCCTACTGTCTAGACTAAATTGTGTACTGTTTTATTGGACTGCAGATGATACCTTAAACATCTGTGTTTGATATATAGTTTGACCAATTCTTATAAAAAAATTTTAGAGAAAGTTTAACTGTAAGCTGTGGGTTTTACAAGGGGAGGTGGAAATATTAAGTGGGATAAGATCCTGAGGTCTATTCCCTGAGTGAGGCAGGACTTGCCTAGAATTCTTGGCTGGTAAGTATGGGACATGGTGGGTCACGGTAGTGGTGCCCCAACCCTGCCCTGTCATCTCCCTGCACCCCAACTCAACTTGGACATCCCTTAGGCTTCTTGAACACATCCTGGCCTGCCCAACCTCATCATCTTTCCTGCTTCACCTGCTTTTCCCCCAAATCACAGTATCCCTCCCCAACACTAAGCCAAGTCCGATGTGTGGGGCTGTCCTCCATTTCCCCTCCTCCCTCTTGCCCACACTAAATCGGCCCGGGTCCCGTTGATTCTTCCTCCTTAGTCTTGCTCATGTTTAACTTCTCCCTTTCAACCCTCTGACCGGCCCTATTCATCTCTTGCCTGGGTGACTATGACTCGCCCTCTGTCACCTGTGTTCTCTCCCCTTCAAGCCCTTCTCCCCACTTCTGCCAGAGAGACCTTACTTAAATACATACTTGGCCACGCCACTCCCGGCTTAAAACCCATCCCTGGCTCCTCACTGCCCTCAGACATTGTCCAAACTCCTCAACTTGCCTTACACGATCTAGCAGGACCCATGTCCTCACCCGTCACCAACTCCATCACTGAGTTCCCCAACTGTCCCTGTCTCTAGACGGTAACATTTCAGCCACTCCAAATGCCTGGCATTCCCTGAATGTGCCAGACCATTCCAAACCTCCAGGTCTTTGTTCACACTCCATATTTCTCCCAGAATAGACTTCTCTTGTGTTCCTGAAAATCCCTGTCCAGATCCAGCTCACAAACACTGCCACCATGAAGTTCTTCCTGACTCCCTAAGAGATCTAACCACTCAATGCCTTGTCCTCCAGTGTACACTGTACAGATGTTTGCCACAGAATGCAAGCACACCAATCAGAACTGCCATTGCACAAATTCACATTGACGTTTCTGTGAGAAGTGCCCTGTAAATGTGTGCAGTGCATTACCTGTACTGCTCTTCATGGAGATGTTGATGCTCTACTTATTCTCTGGATGTTTATGTTTCCCACTAGAATTTGAGCTGTTGGAGAGCAACACACATCCCTGTTCTCTTAAAACCCAGTATAGGCCTGGCATAGAACAGGAGCTCAGTGAGTGTTGAATGAATGAATGAGTGGATGGAGTGAGTGAATGAATGACTGCAGTTGCTAATCTTATGCCCTATGAGGTTTCACCATTCACCACCCTATCTCCTTGCCTGATAAAAACCCCAATAAGCACACTGGCAGACATTTCAGCTTTAGGGCCATATTAAGTCTTACTGATGTATTATGAATGTGAAGGTCAAATACAGCATCTTCTCTCTTGCCAGTGCTGCCCAAGCAGCTCTCTAGACTCCAGGAGGGCAGACCAGGTCAAGAGAAGACCTTGGACTGATAGCAGGGGTCACTGCAGGATGACCTATGCATCCTATAAAGGTCCCTCCGTGCCTCCCCAAGATGGGCAGAGCCCTGAGATCCTCTCCTTCCTCTTTAAAGGAGGAAGCAGGCTGGGTCTGCTCTGGACCACCCCCATCCCCCACCCCCAGCTGCCTTCTAGGCACCTTCAAATGGCTCAGGACAGGATGAGGAGCACGCCGAGCCCCCAAAAGCACTTAGGGATTGCCTGCACCTAGTCCAGGCCACCGTCATTGCTCACCTAGACGACAGTCAAGACCTCCTAGCTGTCCCACTCATCCATCTCTTGGTTGAGTGATCTTTGTAAAATGCTTATCTGCTTGTGTCATTTCCCGTCATTGTTGCTCCAGCTCCTGAGACTCACGCCACAACCACCTGTACCTCCCTCGTGCTACACTTCAACCACACTGAACTTACTTTGGTTCCCAGAACACACCATGCCCTCTCCTACCCTTGAACCTGAAAGGATTCTCCCCTTCCCCTTCTAACTTTTAGTCAGGCCTGGATGTTGCTGCATTTCAGAAGTCTTCCATGACCCCAGAGGCTGGGAAGGGAATCTTCTGTGATCACACAGCCTCCATGCTCCCCTTTTAACATTAATTCATACTCGGTTAATTTTTTTTTTCTTTCAGTTTGGTTTTGAACAGGTTGTGCATGTAAGCTTGTTTGAAAATTCAAATATTAAAAGAAAAGCACAGGGAAGACCAAATCTCTCTCCTCTCAATCTGCAGTCCCTTAGTCCTGCTCCCTAAAAGCACACACAACTGGCAACTTCTCATGCATCCTTCCAGAAATACTCCTGTTTGCAAGCAACTGTGTATCCATTTAACCCTCTTTTAAATATATTAATGATAGCACACTGGATGCATTTTTTTGCCCTTCACTTTTTTTTCTACTCACTAATGTATCTTAGAGAACATTCTGTATACTTACTGTTTTGTAATAGCTGCACAGTATTCCATTGCATGGAAGTACCATCACTTACTTACTCAGTTCCCAACTCATGGGTTATTTCCAACCTCTTGCTATTACCTATGCTGCAATGAATATCCTTGGACATCCTTCTGGTGCACACATCCACGTGTAACTGCAGGATAATCTCCCTGGTGTGGGCCCTTTTCTGTTTGATATAGAGTGCTAAATTGCCCTCGTGAGAGGTTGTTCAAATTTACTTAGTCCCACAGTGTAATTACCAGGTCACTTGTCTTTCTATTTCCTAGGAACAGTGACCCTGGGATGAAGCTGTTTCTGTCCCCAACCCTGTACCCCTATCCTAGGTCGTAAGAGGCCTCATAAATGTTGGGCTAAATGGGGTCAGAACAATATAGGTAAATCCTGAGTCTTGTTCAAGGGCAGTTTAAAGGGATGAGATCGAGTCCCACAGCCTGCCCCCTTCCTACTATCCCAATCAGCCTCATTCCTTTGAGAGGGAGGAAGTGACCATTTACTGATCACCTGTTATCTACTTAGAATCATCATGCTTTATCTACAGGACTCCATAGTGTCTGTATAGAGTCTGGACCAAAGTCTGTAAACAGTTGTTGATGGATATTGTCATTTAATGTAACTCCATTTACTGAGTGGTGGAAACAAAAGGATGAACGAGGCTGTGGGCACTTCCAGGCTGGCAGATAGGACAACAGGGATGATGCTTGAATGAGAAATCGGAGACCCTATGGTGGAACTTGCCATCTCTGGGTATCCTTCCTTGGTACACCAACCCTGCTGTCACTCAGTGCCCTGGGTTACCAACCACAACCCCCACACCCCTAGGTCCCGGCCCTGTAGGACTCAGTGGGGAGATGCCTAGCTCCTGTGGACAAGACAAGCCTCTTGTGGGACAGAGAGCCCCGTAGCTTCTGTATGGAATGGCAGGAGAGCAGTATGGGGGCAGGAGAGGGAAATGAGAGAGAGAGACTGCCAGAGAGGAAGAAAGACACATTGCATTCGAAACAGCGTGAATTTGGATGGAGGGCCAGAGAGGTGGAGAGAAAGCCAACAGAGGGCAGAGAGGGAGAGAGAGAGAAAGGAAGAGGGAGGGAAGAACTGAGATAAAGAGGACGCTGGATCAAGAGACTCTCAGAGTGAAAGGCAGAGAGATTAAACAGAGACAGAGGCAGTAAGGGATAGAGAGAGGCAGAGGTGGGAAGAGGCAGAGGAGAGATAAGAGGAAGGGGAGTATGAGACAAAGAGGAGGAGCAGATAGAGAGAGGACTCCCATTGAAAGGGAAGAGGTGGGCAAAGAGGGGCACGAAGGGTAACCAGCCCGGGCACTCACTGCGGATCTCAGCCGTGGCGTATTTGGGGATCATGGAGTCAGTGGTGAGCTCAGGGTGCAGAATGCAGCCATGCGTGTAGGCATCCATGGGCAGGGCGTCCAGCAGCTCACGGTACTGCAACACCCGGGCGTGCTGCGGGCTGCCCACCTCAGGCATCAGGGCCACCACATGCTCTGCAGGGCACACAGGGGCTGGACCAAGGGGCCTAGGGTCCTGCCTCGGCACCCATCTGCCCCGCTGACTCAGAGAGGCCAGGCTCTATGCCCAACTCCCACCCCCAGCATCCTGGAACCCTGACGTGTCACAGCCTGGACATCTCAGGTGCATCCCCTTTCCTGGACTCTTGAGGTAAAGTCTCCACCTGCTGCTAGGGGCCCCTGGTGGTCCTGGCCCACTACCTGTCCTCACTGGAGCCCCCCAAGCTGCCCCACTGCTGTAGGCTTGTTGCCAGGTGGAGGTCTAGGCCCAGTGCTGCAGACTTCAAGAGAAGCCAGAACCTGGATGTTTAACATTCAACTCTCCTTGGTTTTTAAAAGTTGGCAACTATGCATATTGTTTTTAAACAGAGAATGTCTGGGCCCTGATACCCTCTCATCCCTGGGCAGTGGGCTCCTGAGCCTGAGGAAGGCCAAAGGGAGGGAGGAAGAGGACACAGGTTTCTGCTGGGCTTTGGGGCATCTGGGCCCTGCTCATGTCTGCATTGTGCTGGGACATCTGGGCCCACGTCTGTAAGGTTCCCAAGGGCACATGGTAAAGGGGTCTGGGCCTACCTATGCCCTGGCATTCCTGGGAGACTTGAGCCCTGTCTGTGGGTCTTAGAGGGGCATTTGGGTTCTGCTCATGTCTGAGAGGCTCTCGAGGGTCTGTAGCCATGCCTATGGTTCCAGAGTGCCCGAGAGAAGGAGGCTTAACCCTGAATACCTAGGCAGGCATCTGGGCTGTGCCTTTTCCCTGGAGTACCAAGGAGGGGTTTATGGGGTCCCAGGGACCTGTGTCCATGCCAGTGGCTCTGCAGTTCCTGAGGGTTCCGTTCAGGGGAAACTGGGCCTTGCCTATGGTCCCAATCGATTTCACCAGGCTTCCCAAGTTCTGGGCCCCTGTCCGAGCCTGCAGGCCCCTGGGGTCTAGGGCCACGACCCTCGTGGGTGTGGAGCCGTACCTCCTGTGAACGTGCGCTCCACATAGTCTATGATCTGGTCGTAGTCGCTGATGATGTTGTCACGATGGATGATGACAGGCACCTCCTCACCCAGGTTGAGCCGCATGAACCAGGGCTCCTTGTGCTCACTCTGTGGCAGGCTCACATCCCGCTCCTCACACACCAGGCCCTTCTCAGCAATCACCAGCCGCACCTGCAGGTTCCAGGGTCAGAGCGGGGAAGGCGGGCAGACACACGGGGACACTCTGCCCAGGTGGGGTGGGGCATGTGAAGAGGGAGGTCAGAGGTCACACACAGGAGGGGACACTGCTGCCTCCAGCCCATTCTTGGGCACCTGGGTAGGGGGCCATCTCCCAGGGGCCTGGCGTTTTGTGGGAAGAGTACAGCCCTACTCCGCGGAAAATGGGTAGAGCTGTCTGGGGTTTCGGGGTGGGCTTCCACAGCTGCACATACCTGGGACAGGGTTCTGGGCTCTGCTCTGTGAGTTTAGGCAGATTCCTTAAACTTTCTGAGCCTCAGTTTCCTTATTTGAAAAATGAAAGTATTAACAGTACCAACCAAGTGTCTGGTAGATAGATGGCACTCAAGGCATGATTTCATTATTATGATTGTCCATCAGCCTGGGTCCAGAGGTAGATCTGGCTGGGAGAGCCACAGAAATTTTTATTATCATCATAATCAATAGCTAACTTTCTCAAATTATTTGGGAAACAAAATGGGGTAAAAATAAGTGGCCGGTTGAGCCCTTTATTGCCCCCAAACACCTTCCCGTCTGGTTGTTGGATGCTCACAACAGCCTCCCTGAAGATAGCAGAGTAGGGACCATCTCCCTGTTCTTCCTGATAAGAAAACTAAAGCCCAGAGACGGCAAGTAACCTGCCCCAAATCACACAGAAATTTAGTAGCAGACATAAAACTGGAAGCACTGGTTCCTGACTCTCAGACCAGGAATCTCTGTCCTGGGGGCTCCTTCCAAGGAAGTCCTGGGCCTGCCTCACCCCCCTTTGGTCTTTCCTTCTGTTTCTAGGGATTCTCAGACAAACACTCGAGCCAGTAGAAACTAATGGAGAGCTCTGAGGCTTGGGGATGCTCCTGACCCAGCTCAACATTTCTGAACCGGAAACAGAGATCACCTATCCAATTGTCCCCTGCCTGGGCTACGACTCAGAAAGAAGGCTGGACTTGTCCAAGGTCCGCAAGCAAAAGGATGGCGAGTGACTCCAGCCCTCCCCACTTACAGCTCCAGTCCAGGGAAAGGGAGGGCATCCCTGAGAGAGGCAGAGCTCTCCTGGAACACTGATGTCCCCCCCCCAACCCACACCCAGGTGGTAGCTCCTGGGCCTGGGCATCCCCAGCCTCCCTCCTGGATGCCAGGGATTAAGTACCCTGAAGGGGCAGCATAGTATCCATGGTCAGAACCTTGGGCTGGGTACCAGACTGTCAGTTCAAATTCCAGCTCTAGGACTCAACATGCTGGATAACTTGGCTTTACAAATAGCTTTAGCATCTGTGTGCCTCAGTTTTCTAACCTGTCCAATGGGAGTCCCATGAGCAATTCCTTCAGAGGCCTGTTATGAGGATTAGATACATCAGTACCTGTGAAACAATGCTTGACACATAGAAGGCATAATGTGTCTTAAGTACTTGTAGTAAATCAGGTTTTGGGGACAGACAAAGCTGGACTTGAAGCCTGGCTCTGCTGCTTATTTGCTGTGTGACCTTGGGAAAGTCACTTGACCTCTCTGATGCTACTTCCTATGAACTGAGAAATGTAATTCATTCCTTCAAGGTTCCAGGTTGAGATGATATGACATGGATAACATCCCAGAATAGGAGGTTAATACATAGGTTCTATCATTACTCTTACACACACACACACACACACACACACAGCCTCCACCCCTGGTTGATGTCCTAGAGGACTTCATACCCCAACCTCACAGCTAACATGAACACCCCCTTCAGTTGGATGGACTGTGGGAAGGAAGAGGTAATTAGCCCCTGAAACTCCAACACTCATTCACAGATTCCTTCTCCATTAGCCAAAAGCAGGTCCTGCGGATGGGGCTGGGAGGCAATGCTGTGTAACCTTTGAATTATCACTGCCCCTTCCTGAACCTCCTTATTAGTAAAATGAGGGGCTGGACTCTGTATTCCATGGAGCTCCTTGCAGCCTTACTGTAAGCAGACTGTGCAGGAGACAAGGCTGGCTCTGATGCCCTCCTTGGTGGCTGTGGGAGGGAATTGCTGGTCTGTCTGAGAGAGGGGGAGGAACTGTGGCAGGGAGAGCACCCGGAGGTGGCATCTGTTGGATCTGGGTGTGTGAGTGTGTGAGTGCATGAGCTTGAGCATCAGTGGCGACTGTGTGAATGGGCAGAGGTGTGTGTGTGCGTGCATATATGTGCGTGACTGTGGTGTGTATGGATGAGTGAGTATTCACATGTTGTGAGTGCATGCACATTAGTGTAGATACAAGTGTGCCAGTGTGAGGGCGTGCCCCTGTGTGTATGTGTAGTGTACATGAGTGAGTACATGTGTGCACGTGTGTATTGGAGCTCATGAGTGATGCCTGGGCCCTGGAGAAGCCCCAGAGCAGTCAAGGCTGGAGTTCAGCTGACTGTTCAGCCAAACTGCTGCTTTCCCTTCCTCTTGCCAGTCCTGGTATCCCAAACCTCCATGATCAGGCTTGGACCTGCATTAGCCTCCAGGCCACACTGAATGGATAGCGACTGAAACCGAACCAGGCCTTTGTCCTTGGCAAGTCCCAACATTTAACCTTCCATCCTGGCATGGGACCTGCCCCCAAGGAATTTCTTGCAGGCCCTGCCCTGGGACTCCAGTGAGGGTGCCAGGTGGGCTGCTGCCTGGGGAGGGACTATCTTTAGTGCATAACAGTCCTGCTTGGAGCTGCCTTGGGGTTACAGGCAGGCGGCCAAGGAGACTTTATCCTTTAGCTGAGCTGCAGGCTGGAGCCATGTGCCATCCTGTGGCGGAGGGGCGGGGGAGGAAGCCAGGCCCAGGGGAAGGACATGTAGCCACCGAAGCCATCTGCCATCATCTCCAAGGCCATTGCCCCCTGGAGCTGGACCAGACTTAGGTGGTCACCACTCAGTATGACCAGACATCAACCATCTCTGGGCAAACTATTTTCCCTGTAGGTGCCTGATATTCACCCAGTGGTGCTTCACTGTCCTGGTTAAGCACTGTCCCTCCTCAACCAGGCCAAGGCAACTGTGATGGGCTGCGCTGCCAGCCAACTCTGGCCAACCTTTTAGCTGCTGTGTGACTTTGTAAAAGACAGAATCTTTGAGCCTCAGTTTATTTATTTTAAATACTATTTTTTTTAAATTAATAAAGATGAGGGAGTGGTCCACACAGGGATCTGAGTTAAGAGAGTTCCAGGTAGATGGAACAGCCCATGCAGAGGCCCTGAGGCAGGAGCATATTTGGCATGTTTGACCAACAGTGAGAAGGCCAGTGTGGCTGGAACAAGGTGGGCTGGGGGGGCAGATGAATGGAGAGGGGGTCAGAAAGTATCATGCACAGAATCTTTTAATTGACACTTCCAGACCGAGGGAATAAATTCAGGGAGTACTTGAATTAGGATGAGAAAATTACATGTTTATTCTCAGTAATCTCATACTGACATTTAGCATTTTCTTCCTTTATGAGTGTAGGCGACAAAGCATGGTAGTGTTAGCAGTGCCTGTAATATTGTCACCACTAGAAATCAGATATTTTCATCACTTCACAGTTGTTGCGGATACACTCATCACGACATCAGTGTTACAGTAGTTACCAGTGCTGCCACTAGCTCAGGTTATATGATGGTTAATACAGAAATGTGCATTATTATATAATGGATTTGTTTTAAATATATGTCAGTAGCTAGACTTCAGTATGACTGGTTTCTCTCCTGATCTGATAATCCTATGTATTTTGTTTTATTCAATTAAAAGCATTATTCTGAGAAAGGTTTATAAGCTTTCCCCAGTTGATGAGGGGCCCATGACCCAAGCAAGGTTAGGATCCTTCAGTAAGGCCTGAGGCCAGTATGAGGATTCTGGCTTTCTTCTGGAGGGGCCTGGAGAGCCCCTGCAGGCTTCTGAGCAGAGGAGTGCTGAGATCTGCAGTTCTCACCTGTGCACTTCCTGTGGGAGTGGGGTGGGGGCTGGTATGTGATCAAGTGTAGCATGGACAGGGCTGGGGAGCCAGTGCCCAAGAACTTGAACTGCAAAGCCAGGGTGGGGGTGGAGGTCATCCTCCACCTCTTGCTTCCTTCCTGCCATGTCTGGGAGGGGGCTCCAGGAGACCTGCTTAGTTTTGGGTGTCAGGACTGGCTTCTGGCAGGACCCATATCTAGGCCTCTTACTCCTGTGGATGGAAGGCTGGGCCAAGGGCTCCCACAGGTACATCCAAGGCAAGGCAGTCCTTGAGAAATTGGGGTAAGGGAACCTTGAACCAGGCTTGCTTCAAGGAGCCAAGGAATGGCCCTCAGAGACCCACCCTGGTGGGAATAACAACAGTAGAAATAGTCAGCTCTCACACAGCACTTTCTCTATGCCAGGCACTGTTCTAAGACATTTATGTGTATTCACTTATTTAATCCTCATAAAAATCTAATGAGGTAGGTACTAGTATCACGCTCATTTTACAAAAGAGGAAAAAGGCACAGAGACAGTAAGTAACTTGCCCAAAGTCACACAGCTAGTAAGTAGCAAACTTGGTTTTTAAAAACTGAGAAGGATGCTTGAAAGGCTAGGGACATACAGAAGTAGGGCAGCTCTTCCTGTCTTGAGGGAAGTCAGGTTGTGTCAAACATCTAGTGAAGTTTCCTGTTGAGGAAACTGAGGACCAGAGAGAGTCAGGATATATGGGAGAAGGAGGCTAGAAGCAGGAACAGCCTCAGAAGCACACTAACATTGACACCATGCATTCAGAGACTCCTCCAAACTCCAAGGCCACAAAAGACCATCTCTGATGGTGCCTGAAAGTTCACTATTACCATGCATTTTTAAAAGGCATTTTTAAAAGGCTAAGTATGTGACCATTCATATCATTGAACCTTCACACCCTTAGAGGTCAGTACTGTAATTGCTAAACATATGAGGAAGCTGAGACTTACAGGGGTGAAGATGTGCATAAAGTCCCACAGCGAGGAGTGGCAGATTGGGGTCTCACCTCATGTCTGGTAAATGTAAGTGCACCTACTGGGCACTTTCTATGTGCCAGGTGCAGCTCTAGGTGATTGATAAGGATACATTTGCTGAGTCCTCACAATGACTCTACCAAAGAGGTGCTATTCTTCTCAGTTTACAGGTACAACTTAGACTGAGGCATAAGAGGTTAGACAACATGCCCAGGATTATCCAGCTGTCAGTGGCAGAACTGAGATTAAGAGGAAACAGGCACAGAGACAGTAATAACTTTCCCAATGTCACACAGTAAGTAGAAATCTTGGTTTTAAAAAAAACTGGCTGGTATGAGGGCAAAAGGATGCTCAAAAGGCTGGGGACTTAACAGAAGAAGGGCGGTCAGACCCCAGAGCGTGGCCTCTGGTCCCCCTCATTGTCTTGCTGCCTCTGGCTCTGGAATAGTCCCCAGATGCCCCATGGAGCCACCACCACTCTTAGAGGTGGGCTACTTTCTGCTATTAATAGTTCATGTACTATTAAGGACAGGTTTCTCAGATGCTTCACAAAGGTGAGCTGTTCCCTGTGTGCAGGCAAGGGCCTTCAGGACTGAAAGAAAGGAAGGAAACTCACCTGCTAAGTTCCTACTATGTGTAAGATACTTAACATATGTTCATGTCATCCTAATCCCCAGAAATTCTGCAACGTAGGATGCAAAAGTCCCTTTGTCCAGATAGGATATTGCACAGAGAGGTGAAGTGACTTGTCCAAGGTCACACAGCCAGTGAGCACTCAAGAGGAGACTGGAACCCAGGACCATCTGACTGCAAAGCCCATGCCCATTCTGGCAGGATACACCACCTCTAGAACCCACCATGGGCCCCTGGGCAAGGGGGAGGCCCTGGCAAGGAAGGCAGGAAGATACCCAGGCTGGGTTGGTCAGAGGCTTAGTTACAAGTGGATTGCAGTGGGTAGTCCCATTCCTGATTAAGGGGCTACCTTCGCCCTGAGCACAGGCCAAATGGGAAATATTCCATTGTGGGAAGAGCAGGAGGCTCCCTCAGGCGATGGAGATGGGAGGTGCCATCCCTTTGTCCCTGTCCAGTCTGGCTCCTGAGTTCTGTGTAGGAGGAGATTCTGGAATTTGGAGGTCAGTCTGATTCATCTCCAACCTCCCAGCAGCTTGCATAGAGTCTGACACATAGTAGGTGCTCAACATGCATGTGTAGAATGTATGGCTGAGTCCCAATGTGACCTTGCATAACTTGACCTCTCCTTTACCTAGCACTTCAGTAACACCATAACACCTATTATTATCAGAGCCTTGATCATGAGCCAGGCACTGCTGTCAGCACTTTTTGTGCATCATCTCATTTCACTCTCAAAACAGCCTTTGGAGGGAGATACTGTCATTAGGTCCACTTTACAGATCATAAAACTGAGTCTTTGGAGAGGCAGTGTGATCCGTCCAAAGCTCCACAGTGAGTAACTGGGAAAGATGGCTCTCTCACTGTCTGGCCTCAAAGTCTGTACTCTACACTGGAGGGATTGGTAGACCATCTTCAACAGCAGCCACTGGTAGCTTGTTGGAAATGCAGCATCTTGGGCCCCACTCCAGACCTACAGAACCGGAATATCTGGGGTGGAACCCAGCAGTCTCTTTTAACCAGGACCATGCAGGGTTCCTAATCTACATGTCAAGTTTGAGTAGTGCCAGTCTAGAAAGCTTAAGGTACAACACCTCTTCAACAACCCTCTCAGCAACCCTGAGAAGGGTTCAAATTAAAAGAAGTAGCTATTACTGTTATTATTATCACCCCATTTTCCAGATGATGAAACTGAGCCTGGGACAAGCCTCAAACCCAGTCCTTTTGTTCCAAGGCCCTTTCTTTTTATAATCTGTTTCTCCATCTGGAGAATGAATGGAACAAAAGGACCCGCTGCTGGGCTCTGGCCATGGTGCTGAATCGGCGCCCCACAGCCAGGAGAGCCTCGCACGGCGGGGTCTGCGCCCCGAAGCGGCGCCCCGTCTCACAGGCGCCGTACTCGGCCCTCACTCCCAGGAAGCCGGAACCCGGATAACTGAGCACCGGGCCGGATTCCCAACTGCCCCGCAGCTGCCCTGGATCTTAGAAGGATTCGAGGGGCCGTCTGTGCCTTTAAGCGCAAAACTTAGCTCTTAGGGGCTGAGCCGAGAGGGTCTGAGGAGATTGTTTAACCCCTTAGGTCTCAGATCAAGATAAGGCGGTTGGGGGATAGGGTAGGACAGACCGTCCACGCCCCGGCCAGAGGAATACCCCGAGCCGGGCAGCGGGGCGGAGGAGCCGTGACCTGCAGGACCTGTGGTAGCGCGGGCAGCGGCGCGCAGGGAGGGCCTACGGCGGAGAGGGCTCCCGGGGCTGGAGGCCGGACCCGAGGCGGCGCTCCCCCTCCCTCGCCGCAGCAGCCGCCCCCTCCAACAGGCCGCCCTCCCGGCAGTCCCGTTCCCTTTCCCTGCCTTTGTCTCCCTCCTCAGTCCTTCAACAGACCGGGTCTTTCTGGGAGGGGAAGAGGCATAGTGGATGCTCCCGGAATTAGGGACGGTGCTCCTGGGGCCCACGACAGGACCAGTCACCTCCAGGGAGAGCAGCCCAGGGTACCCCGTCCTCCAGGGCCCCGAACCCCAGATCCCACCCTCCATCTCTCACCAGGTCCTCAAGAGCCGGAAAGCCCCTCCGGGTCCCCTCCCCCAGCCTCCTAGCCACCGGCGCATCCGGTTCCCCTACTCCCAACGGGCTCTACCTTCTGCGAGCTGAAGGACTGGGTCCAGTGGTACAGAACCAGGCTCTCCTTGGGCCAATGGGCGGGGCTGGCCGCCTCGGACGCGTCAGGGCCCTCCACCGGCTTGGCCACATCGCTCTCCAGAGCCGAGATGGGCCACCAACTGCAGCTGGTGGGTGTCAGGCTGTTGGGGGTCGCCATGACAGCCCGAAACCAGAGGGAGGAAAGGAAGAGGCTCCGGCGGCTGCGGCTCTCGGTCGCCCAGCATCACATGGCCTCGCGAGCCTGCCCCTCTCCTTCGCTCCCTCCCTCCGCTCTCCGTGAATGTCATTACTCACTGGGCGAAGGGGGAGGGGCGGGGGGATCCCGGGAGCTCCTTGCCTCCTCCTCCCTTTGGCCTCCCCGTGGCTGTGCCAAAAACGCCAACAGTCCCCTCTGTCAGGCTCCCTGGAAGGGTGCAAGGAGCCATAGGGAAATGGGCTATGCCCCAAATAGCTCAGATCTGGCCAGCCACCTTCCGAAGATTTCACCAGTATAAACCCATTCTGATTCTCAGTCTTCTAAGAAGCAAACACCTCTTAGGACAACTGGTATGAGAGAGATGCATTCTTTCTATAAATCAGTGTATGGAAATCGCTTGTCTCTCTTTGAAGCTGTTATTTTCTAACTTCTCCTGAAGGACCTCGAAGGGCAGAAGGGAACAAACTATGAGTAATTACACAGACACTTACAAAGCACCATGTGCCCAGACACTGTTCTAAGGGCTTTACAACCGTCCACTCATTTAGCCCTCAGAATATCCTATGGGATCTGTTTTGCAGAGGAAGAAACTGAAACATAGAGAGGCTAAGTGACCTTGACCAAGGTCACTTGGACTAGTAAGTGGAGGAGCTGAGATTCCAACCCAAGCTGTCTGGCTTCAGAGTCTATGCTCTTAGCCTTCAGGTCATGATAATATGATAATAATATAAAGAACAGCACAGCAAGCATTTACCAACTCAAACACTTAACATGCATCTTCTCACTTCATCTGCACAATAATCATTTTTGCCAGATGAGGTTAGTGAGGCTCAGAAATTTTAATTCACTGTTCCAAGGTTACATCTCCACCCCAGGAGACTGAGGCACAGCTAGGGCGGCCCAAAGAAAACCTCTACTACCTTTGTTGGTATATAGTTTACCCTAAACATTCATGGGAACTGTACATAAAATTCCTTAATATATTCCTTGTTCCCTTACTGTAAATATTGTGTTTTAATTTATTTACCATTGAGCAAATACACACACCCAAAAATAAGCTTCTTGGTTTCCCCCTGACCCCCGATGTGATACTACCAAGGACTCCTGGGCACATCACCCTCCCAGACGGATAAGCATGGCTCTTGAGGAATAGGTTTCCTTTCCTTCTACTGGGTAAGAAAGGTTCCGTGGCCCATGAGTTTCACTATTTGCTTTAGCTGCCAGGAAGCTTGGAGCTACATTTTCTATTAAGTCCCAGTTGCCACATTAGCCTCCCTGGTTCAGAAAATTCTCTTTGCCACCCTTCTGTGAAGTTTCTATTTCTTCTTTTACCTCAAAGTGGAAAGATATTGTATGTCTTAAGGGAAAATTAAAATGAATTCAGGGAAATAAGGCTTTAGAAATTTGATCAAGGTGGAAAATCTGGCCCCCATCTGTGTCTTTGGTGTGAGCATATCCAGGGACCCTAACTTAACAGCAGTCACACTCAAACGTGTATTCTTTCCCTTGGCAAATATTAGTTGTGTGCCTACTGCATGCTAGGCACTTTGATGGCACCAGAGATATAGTGATAAATAAGACAGCAGCTGGTCTGCTCTTTGCATTTTTTGCTTAGCCATGCTCCTTGGAAAGTTTCCTATCAACATAGGTCTAACCCATCCTTTGTAATAGTCTCCACTATGTGGTTGCACCATAATAAACTTATTTAAGAACTCTTACTGATGAACATATATGCTGTCACTAATCTTTTATTAATCTATAAAAGTACCCCTTTTCTTACACCCTTGCCAACACAGCATATTTTTAAACCTCTTTTTAAATCTAGGGTGAAAATATAGTATCTCATAGTTTTTACTTGCTTTTCTTTTTTGACTTTTAATTATAAATTTTTTTCAAACAGCAAACAGCAAACAAAATTGCTCAATGAACACCTATGTATCCATCACCTAGATAGAAGCTTTGTTAAAAACTTGTAATATATATATATATATATATATGTGTTTAATTTAGGTTTGACATTTGAGTGATAGGCATCATGATATTTCACCCACAAACTACTTCAGCATTAGGTACTTTATATTTGACATGTCATTTTCTTACATAAAACAGCGCATTTTTCACATTAAAAAATTTAGTAAGTGGGGAGGGAGGGAGAAGGGGATTAAGGGGCACTATGATTCATGATCACAATATAGGTAGGTGACGGGGAAAGCAATACAACATGGAGAAGACAAGTAATGACTGTAGCATCTTACTGCGCTGATGGACAGTGCCTGCAATGGGGTAGGGTGGGGGACTTGGTAATATGAGTGAATGTTGAAACCACAATGTTGTTCATGTGAAACCTTCATAAAATTGTGTATTATGATACTTTAATAAAAAAATTTAACAGTAAGTCCCTAATATCTAATTCATATCTGAATTTCTCCAGTTGTACCAGAAATGCCTCCACAGCTGGTTTCGACCAGGATCCATCAAAGACCATGGGGTTCTGTTGTCACATCTCTAGTCTCTTTTAATCTTGAGTGGCCCTCACTCATTTTTTTCCCATGACACTAACTCATGAAGAGACTGAGCCAGTTGTCTCGTACAGTGTTGCACCTTGGGATCACCTGGCTGGTCACCGTTTGTGTCCTTTAAGTTGTACTCTCCTCTGTATTTTCTAGAAACTAGTACTTAGATCTAAAGGAAAGACTAGATGCAGGTTAGATATTTTGAGGGCAAGGACTCCTGTCAGGAGGTCTGTAATATTGTTGCCCCACTATTAAGGATGCCAAGTTTCATTCCTGGGTTAAGGTGGTGACCACATCTCTCCATGCTGAATGTCCATTTCTCCTCTTCCCACCAGAACCTTGTGGGCAATCCAGTTGCTCACCCATTGATGGTCCTTGACTGAATCAATTACCGGGAGTTGTAAAATGATTGTCTTTCCATCTGCATTTATCAGCTGGTATTCTTTCTTTGAATTTCACTTATTATGAGTGAAGTTGCCCATCTTTCCAAATGTTTAAAAGCCATTTTAATTCCTTTCCCAGCAAATTGTCCCCAGCAGGGGGATTTCTGTGGGGACCTGGGCAGTTAGGGCAGAGCACGGTGAGTGCTGTGACTGGGGCAAGGATGGGTGGCGGTAGAGCCAGGAAGGATATCAGCAGGCTGTCTAGGTGCTGGTGCGCCAGGGAAGGCACTCAGCATGGGTTCCTCTGAAGCAGGCTTGGGACAAGAATTCTGGGACAAGCATTCAATTTGGGAGGAGGAAATTCTGGGAGGCAAACAGGAAAACAAGACAGGAAAGGCTGCCAAGGAAGGTGGGTTGTCAAGCAAGTTAGTACTGTGAGCGACTGGGGCTCGATCCCACAGGGAGATTCTGAGGCCAGTGGAGCACACCTCGGCCTTATTCTACCTGAGAGTACCGGGTCCCGTCAGTCATTGTTGGAAGGTTGCCCCTCGAGGGAGGCATTCATTCCCCAGCACTTCAGGCCTGCCCTGCAGTTAGAAGAGTGGGTTCCAGTGGCTACAGAATGCTCTCAGGCAATAAATGTGGGTGCTGCCAGCTGGTAGGCACTGAAATGACACAAGTTGGGGACACTGCCAGCATCTGCTCAAGGACCTCTAAGCAGAGACTTTACAGATGAGGAGTTAGCCAGATGAAGAGAAGATGGGGAAAGGTATGCATGCCCCAGGCAGAGAGAGCAGCAGGTACAAAGGCCCTGGGGGTACAGCAAGCATGGATGTTTGAGGGACCAATGGCCACTCTTCTGGCTGGAGGTAGAAGTGGGGGGTAAGGCTCCATGGTCTTGCCGGGCCTGTTAGGCCACCTTTAGGGGTCATCCCATCGTGCTGAGGGCACTGGGGGGAGGGGGACACTGGAGAGTTTTAATCAGGGAAACGGCATCCAGTGAGCACATTTAATGTCTACATCTATTATATCAGGGTCGCTGACTCAGGAAGCTAAAGAAAGAGACCAGAGAGATACCATAAATGTGAGGCCAGTTGGGCATGAACAACAGTGTAGTGGAGACTGTGGTGAATCAGAAAGCACATGTTCCCCACCGCTTCTTGCTCCAGCCTGTTATTGCCTAGTAGGATGCAAACATAGTTGCCAGCTACTCCTGTCTTCAAGAACCTGGAAATCCAGAGGTTTGCATGAAATCACTCATTTAAAAATCTGTTGGTAATTTTGTTTTAAACACGATGCAGAAACAACAAAACATACTGGTGGGTAGGTTCTAGGCCCTCGTGTTGTCAGTTTGCAGCCTCTGTGTGAGATCATTTAATTTTTGCCACAGTCCTGGAGACAAGATGTGAGGTCACATAGCACTAGCTACTGTAATTGGTGAAATGCCAAATCACAGTGGCTTTGCACAATAGACATTTACTTTTCACTCACATAAGGTCCCACTAGGAGCAGGTGCAGGGAAGGGCAGGGCGTACTGACCACCTGCCCATCTGGCTTTCAGGACCACAAGGCACTGATATCCAATGAGCAGACAGTGAAGAGAGCAGAGGACCATGTGGGAGGGCTTGGTGGGTAGCGTCCCTCCTCTCTTCTGCCCACATTCCATTGCTAGAACTGTCATGTGGCCACCCCACCTGAATACAAAGTGGAGCTGGAAAATGTAGTCCCTGCTCTGAGGCAGCCACTTCTCAACCAAAACCCTATCCTGTGGGTTAGGCAAGCAGATTTCTGAGGGGTCACCCATCTCTGCTTCATGAAGTTATTATCATTTTCTTTTTACAGACAAAGAAATGAATCTCAGAGAGACTAAGTGACCTGTGAGAAACCACGCAGCTGGGAGCACTGCCTTTGTCACTTCAATCCAAGGATCCTTCCTCTTCCTCAGTGTTTCCCAAATTTGCGATCTCCTAAGAATCACCTGTGCAACTTGTTGAACATATACCCTTCTGGACCTCACCCCGGACTTGAAGCTGTGTGTTCAGGGGAGTGTGTGGTAACCTGTATTTTCATCATGAATCCCAGATGATTTTTATATGGCTCCACACCAGGGGCTGCACCTTAGAATCACCAGGGGAGCTTTGTGAAATGTTAATCTCCTGGCCCTAACCCCTAGAGATTTTGATTAAGTTGGTCTGTGGGAGAAGCCCTGACATCTCGATTTTACAAAACTCCCAGGTGACTCTGATGTGCAGGGAACTAGCGTGCCTGCTCCCCACCAAACTGGGCTGGTCATCACAGTTACTGCAGGGAGCTTTTCAAACTAAAGCAGCAAGAGAGAGAAAGGGAAAGAAAGAAGTATCAATGAGTCTCTACTCTGGGAAACAGCATTTTTAAAAGCTCTTCAAATGATTCTAATGTGCAGCCTAGGTGGTTGAGACCTACTGAATACATGGGCCAGAAGACTGAATCAATCAAAACTCTGAAATGACATTTCTGTATTTTTTAAGCTTCTCCAGGAGACTATGATACTACACAAAGAGTGGTGTGCCCATCTCTGGGAGCTTGTAAGAAATGCAGAATCTCAGGTTCTACCCTGGACCCATTCAATCAAAATCTGCAGTTTAACAAGGCTCCCGCGGGGTGCGCACACACATTAGTGTAATAGGAGGCACTGCTCAAAGGCACACAGACTCTTTCTGGGAGAAGAGCAGATTAGGTCCTCCATTCAGGGCTGGCTCATCTTCTCTCCCATCTCCACCCACCTTCTTGATGCCGTAGAACCTTTTCTAGCCTCGCTAACATAGTCCTCAAAGGTCTGGGCCTCGCTGCCCCATGCCGTGGCCATCTGTTCATGGCTCCTGTGTTTGGTCTGGGCATGCGCTCAGTCTGATGAGTTAACAGGGCACTTGCAGGCCCTTTCTGCCAGGGAAAGGCTTCACAGATATTGGGTATTGATTCGAGGACCAGACCATAGGTTTGGGTGCTTCACCTCAAGATTTAAAGCTCTTTAGATCTGTAAGTTGGAGAAGAATATAGACTTGCTTTGTGAGGTTCTGGGACCAATCAGAGGGAGTTATAGGGAGACTGTAGTTCAATGTAAGGAAAAACTTCAAACAAGCTGGAAGGGGTCATAAGTTAGTGAGGTCCGGGTGGTAAGCTTCCTGTTCCCCAAAGAGAACAAGCAAAAGTTGGATGGCCTTCATTCAGGGTACCCAGAGGCAACCTCTGGATTGGGTGTGAGTTGGGGGCCTCCACTCATGGTTGAAACATGAAGGCCCCTCAAAGGCAGGAGGCTGGGTCAAGGAGTGAGGAGAGAGAGGTAATTCAGGGTTTTACTGTGTCAATAAATCACTAAGGCGGTTTGGTTCAATACAAACTACTGTTTGAGCAGGAAATTATCTCTGTTGGTCTCCACTAGTTCAAAGGCTCAGTGAGATCAGTGGCCGGACTACCTGTGGAGCCCATGGCACCTGGCACAGGGCCTGGCATATAACAGCATCTGCCCAGTAATATTTGTTGACTTAAATGTAAATGGCTGAAAATGAGCATTAATCCCTTGTTTGTCTCTCATTGGTAATCTCTGGGCATCGCAGGATAATCTGGCATCTTTTGTACCCTTTAAAGCCCTTGTGTCAGGTGTTCAGGGTGTCGATGGTTTTCTTCTTGTTTTCTCAGTAAGTTCTAATTCTTTTCCATCTAGCTTATAACTGCCTGGCATTCTTTGTAATAGTGAAACAACTGAAATAACCTAAATGGCCCACAAAAGGGAGTTTGTTAAATCATTTGGGGGCTCTCCTCCCCCAGAGCCCAACCACCATCCACCAATCCTAGCTGAGAACATTTTATCTGGTAGTATTCCAACAAGACACAAAAGCATGGTCTCTGCATAAGTGTTCTCGATGAACTACTTTTTGCTTGGCTGTATCTTTTTCTTTTTCTTTTTTCTCCTGAACATCTATTACTTTTGAGTAATAAGAACTAATCAATGGGAACTGGACTGGTTCTAAACTCTATTTGAAATCTCTAATCTATTTTAACCAGCTTTATCTAATTGGCATAGTTTTTATTTGAGAAAATTGCAAACTGAAAAATAGGGTGAGTGCTTAGAATAACCAGTTATCACTGTTCCTTCCATCACCCCTTTCCTAGCCCGCTGTGACCCTCTTACTGCTTTCCCTCTAAGTGAGCAATGCAGGTGGTCTCAGGCACCCACAGCCTCACAGGTTGGTTACTCCATTCCAGTGATATGATTCCAGAGAGTGGAGAGAGCCATTAGCTTAGGCAGCCACTACATAGGTATTTGCTTACTGGAAAACCACTGCAGCTACAGCTCAAACGCACAGAACTGCTGGCAGAAGTCTTGCCCCTGGCACCGGGGCCAGGAGCCATCTGCCCAATTTGATAGCCTGCAAAGGCTGCAGGCAACTCTTTGCCATCTGGGCCTTATAGGATGTTTTCTTGGGAGTATCCAGGACTACCAAGGAGTCCTGGACATTTCCTCCAGGCTGGCTACCACTGGCTCTGGGCCAAGTGACAGGAGTGAGGCACCTCTCCAGGAGCCCTTGTCATGCCAGGCAGGTCTTAGGACCGGGCTCCACTCACTTTCCACTCCACAGGATGGGGTGGAGAGAATGCAAATGAGGATGTGAATGCATTCATGCTGCACCTGAGCCTAGGTCAGCAGCTTCAGGCTCCACAGGAGCCCCAGGGGCTTGGCTTGGCTGTGACAGCCTGGGAAATTCACAGGGGGAATGGACCTCAGGTTTCACAGGTGAGAAATGAGCATGACTTTTTTTCCCTGGGGTCTGAGCAGATGAGTCTATGGCAGGTGTTCTGGGTGCCCTAACGTCGGCCACAGAATATATTTTGTTTGGGGTGCTGGTCTGTGTTGAGGGATATCTGGGCTAAGAAGATGCTCAGAGGTGGTGGCTGGGTGTGGGTGTTCATTAGGAGAAGGTGCTTTGGAAGAGGAACTCCCAGATTGCTCTGAGGCTCAAAGCATTCGTGTGTGTGAATGTGTTTTATAAAATATAAAGTCCTTAAAAATATTAGTTGATTTTATTTTGGTAAAATAAGTTTAGTTCTCTTTCTGTGAGGTTAGAATAACACTGCTAGGGTAACAGCAAATGAGAGTACATTGAATGGAAATCTGAATTTGAAACATGTCATAAAGATGGGCAATAGCTGTTGGAAGGGCCACACAGAGTTCAGAAAACGGGTCAGTCCATCTAAGCTTGTACCTAACCTGAGCCAGGTTCCTTTATAACCTATTACTGGGCTTTGGGACCCGTGCTGTCACCGGGAAGAGATGCCACAATGCCACGGCAGGGGAAACAGGGAAATAAGAAAACCTAATGTCATGACTGTATTACCAGCACCACGGATTACTTAGCTACCACAGAAAATCGACCTGTCAGGAAGCAAGTTAATATGTCCATCCAGGGTTTATGGGACTGCTCAGTTAATTTATTAACATTATAAAAGTAATGTATACAGAAGCATTTTGGGCAAGGGCCCATGTCCTACTACCCTAGTGAAATGTAGTAAAACCAACCTTGAAAAGGAGTGGCAGCAAAAACCGCAGACGTAAACCAGCTCATTGCACTGCTGGGGAGGGAGGTGAGGAGAGCTCGGAGTGCGTGAATAACTTAACTTTTATGCAGTTTATCGATGCATGACCAGAAACTTTAAATAGTGCATACCTTCTCACCCAGCAGTTCCAGGTGTAAAATTCTATTTCATAAAATAATCAGACTCTGGTCAGATGTAGGTAGACAGACACACACACACGTTTTTATATGTTTATATACAAACAATGTTTTTCAGCTCTTTATTATAGTTCTTTACTATAGCCAACATATACACACACACACACAGCCCCCAATTGTCCAAAAATAGAGGGATGGTTAACTGTGGAAGAAAGTATGAACATGTTTAAATGATGGACTATTACATGGTCATTAAAATCATGTTTTTGAGGGATATTTTGCAACATAGTAAATATAATGAAAAAATGTAAAATTATAGTTTATCAGCAATTGAAATACATACATTTAAAATAATAATGATGATGATAGCAACTAATATTTACTGGATGCTCACCACGAGCCTAGGGTCCTATCATATTACTCCTTCAATTCTCTCCAAGTCCTCTGACCTGTGTACCATCACTGTCCCCACTTTTCAGAGGAATAAATGGAGGCACAGGGGCTTGGGCAGTGTGTCCAAGGCCACAGAGGGGGAGGGTGTGGTGAGGCAGGGCTTGTAGCAGAGCCAGGCTGGTATTCTGCAGCACTGCAACAAAGTGGGCCTCCCTGAGGGCTGGGGCTGAGGACATACACTTTTCTTTATATTTTCCAAATTTCCTAGAGAGGTATACTTTTCTTCTGTTAAAAGTAGTTTTTGTTATAAAAGTAACATATTAACACATTAAAAATAGATCCAGAGTATGGGGGTGAGGTGGGCGGGTGGGTATTAAATAACCTAGGAGCCAGACAGGTGGGAGGCGGTAAATCAAATTCAATTTGATTCAGTGAAACGGAAAGGATCGGGAAAGGCTAGAAGACTAGGCTCAGTGGGAAAGAGAACTGGCCCTATGCTGAACACATGACATTTTACAAGTGTTTGTGGGACACCCACGTCGATGACCAGCAGGATACAGGACACAGAGGGGTGCTGAGGAGACATGTCTCTCTAGGCATCTGGCAGGAGACATCTGGGCAGGAGATCCAGATGTGGGGGCAGCAGTGAGCAGATGTCACCAAATCTACAGGAGATGTTAGTTATTTTTGCCTGCGCATCCCGTCTACCCCTTCCTTTGGGCAGTAGCAACCCATTTTTTCCTTTGGAGAAGTACTTCACCCATTCTACGTGGCCTTAGTGAGATGGTCAAAGTGCCCTGCCATCTGAGAGGTGGGCTCACCTGTCAAGCAAAGAACATTTTTTTGAGATCAAAACCAATATATTTTTTTGATAATTCCTGATTCCTAATAAGCCTGCAGCCCCCCAGCCATGGAATGAATGCTTTTAGCTGCTCAGGAAGCCACTGCTCAGCTCTGAATTTTAAATTTAACTTTCTGAAGTCCACAGTGAGGTAAGAGTCAAAATCTTCCTAATGTTAACACTTGAGGGTGAAAACTGGTTTAGAGTACATGCAGGGCAAGGAAAGAATTCTTGGGAGTTAGGCTGAGCCAGGAAACCGTGATACAACAGTTTAAATGTAGAATGAATTGAAGACTTACCAAGATAGAGCTTCACTCAAAGTGAAAAACCAAACCCAGCCATTATGAAACCAGCAGGTATAGTAAGCATGAGTGACTAAAGGTTTAGCTCAATAGCTTTTGGGCAGGAGCTCTTCACATTTTTGGTGGTGGTGGTTTTGCATAGGTAATCCAGTGTCAGGATCCAAAACTCAGAACGCAAGGTCCACTTTATGATGTCTGCCTGCCTGCCACTGCCCTACCCCTGCCACTCCTTGAAAAACTTGTGTCCTGTATATCTTTTTAGTGTTTCTTAATGCAACACAGCAATACAAAATATATTCGTAGTGGAGCATCTTGCTTTTTTCACTTGCTATATTTTAGAAATGATTCCTCTGTCCACAAAGAGCTTCCTCTTTTCCCAGCTACCCAGTACTCCAGTGTGGATGCACCAGTTAAGATGCCCAGTCCTCTACTGACACCTGGGGTGTTTCCAGTCTTTTGCTATTACAACCAATGCTGCAATGGATAACCTCTTACATAAGCCATTACATGTATGTAAAAATGTCACCTGCATTTGTGGAATCCTAGACTTGTCATTTTGATAGATCTTGTCATTTCACAATCCCACCCGCAATGTCTGAAAGTGCCTGTTGCCTGCTGCCCTGCCCCCCTGGAATTGGGATTGCTACCAATCTGAGAGGTTAAAATTGGTATCTCATGCACTTTTAACAAGCATTTATCCTTTGAAGATTGACACTGAGCATCTTTTCACATGCTTGAGGGCCATTTATATTTCTTTTTCTGTGAATCATCTGTACATTTTCTCTACTTTGCTGATGCAAAACTTCCTAACTTGGAGTTAGAAATGTATGGGTAAAAGGCTAAAAAATAACTTAAGGAGGCCCCTGAAGAAATCCCAAGTGACGTGTTCTGGAGTCCTGGAGATAAGGAGGGGCCCTGGACTGACAAAGTTGGCCAGTGGCAGACAGAGCAGCTAGAGGCTGTTCCGCTGTGGCGAGGGGCAAAAACTGATGTCCTGGGAAGCCAAAAGGCCACCGAGTGGAATATAGTGGCAGAAGAGAGTGGGAAGGGCCACCACCACCAGCGCAGGTCCTTAGGGTTGTGGGTCCAAGAACTCTGTCAGGTTGTCCAGAGCTGATCAGACTCAGGGGGGTGGACTCAAAAAATACTGATTGATGATACATATACCAGATGCAATTTATTAACCTGAAGAAGGGAATATACCCTTCCCATAACGGGAGTGCTTGTGCCTGTCTTCCAGGGCTCCCTTGTTTCTTTCCTATTATTTCCCACCGTCTCACTCACTGGCGCCCCCACCCTCTCCTGTGGCTGCAACAGCCATCTGGGCGCTGACCACGATCTGTATCTCAAAATCTCTGACTTGAGTTTCAGACTCATGAATCGTCCTGCCCCCGGATATATCCACAGATCTCTGGAGTTCAACGGATCCAAACTGAGCTCGTCGGTTTAAAGGCATCTCACCATAAGGTGGCAGTGAGAGCACAGACTTTAGCCAGACTGCCTCGGCTCAGATTCTCGCTCCACGGCTTACTAGCTGTGAGACGCCAGGCAAGCTACTCTGTATCTCTTTGCTTCGGTTTCCTCGTTTGGAAAATGAAGGTGATAAGATGGTTATCTCATTGGATTGTTACAAGGATTAAAATGAGTCTTCTGACACATAGTAAGAGCTATAAAAGTACTAGCTTTTATTATTATATTCCATTTAAATGCTGTTATTGGTCTGTCTGCTGTCAACTGGATTCAAGAAAGTTACATCAGAAATAGGCACCAGCAACCCACTCAGCTGCTCAAACTAGAAGGCAAATTGTTCATTGTCCACTTTCTCTCTCTGCCCCTCCTGTTCATATTCAATTTCTCACCAAAGCCTGATCTATTACAACTTTCAATCTGTTAACTCGCTCTCCATTCCTATGGCCACCTTCTCTTTGGATTATTGCCCTCTCAAGACTGAGTCACTGTGCTATCCAGGCAGAAACCAGGGTAATCCTTCTAAAATAAAAGTCACTTCCCTTTTCTTCTATAGCTTTCAGGTTTCTTAGAATAAACCCCTTAACATGGCCTTTCAGACCCTTCATGACCCAATTCTTGCTTTCATTTGCCCTTCAAACTCCTCTGTCCAAAACTAAACTGTCTCGCTATTCCTTAAACCTGTTGGCTTCCTGGATTTCCCTCCTTAGTGAATGGTGCCAACCTACTGGCCACCCATTCCCTTGGGCCAGACAACTCAGCCACAAATCCTGTAGTCTCTTTAGACTCCAGGGTCACCGCACAGCCCTTCAGTCATTGTTCCAGTTCTGGCCTTCACTTAGATTACTTCGACTGTCTTCTAACTGCCTCTCTTCCATTTCCCTCCTCTCCATCTACTTCCTGTGAGGCTGCCGGAGAAATATAAACTGGCTGCTGGCACACTGCTATTTTGCTCAAGGACAAAAACCAAGCTCCTTAACATGATTCTCTTTGAGCTGACCTGGACTCTCTCCAGTCTCTTTCCATCCCTTCCCATTTCCTAGGCCAATGCCTGACATTCAAAACCCAATAAAACCTCCACGAGGAAGCCTTCTCTGAGACACCCCGCTGCACCTCCAGACCGGAATAGGCAACCCTTCTGGACGTCCACCCCGTGTCCTGTGCCTCTGCTTCCACGCAGCACTAGGCAGGCAGCAGCAGTCACCAAGATATGGAAAAAACAAGCGGAAGCTGGGGACACGAAGGGCAACCTGACACACCACCGGCCCTCCTGCAGAGCAGAGCAGGAAGCAGCTCTCTTCACTCTCCCTGTCTTAAATGATCAACACTCATTTGATCCCCACCCTCACACTGCTTTGGTAACAAAGTATTTCGTAACAGGATAATTGTGGGGATTAAAAATATTTAAATAGTTTCTGGCACATAGTGAACATTCAGTACTTTCATTAAACAAGTATAATTACTGAGTGCCAACTCTGTGCTAGGCAAGAGTTTAGGCCCTGGAGATAATTGGCATTTTAATCAATTCTAAGACACCATCATTTTAAAGATTCACTACGTAGTGTAGATATGATTAAGAAAGAAACAAATGTTACCAATTAAACTAGGGCACTATCAATAATCAGATGCATTTAGATTTTCAGAGTGCTAAACTGTGGGAAAAGTACATTTTAGAGTCAATGAGAAAAGCAGTAATAAACAAAACAGGCAGAAGTCTCTGTCCTTAGGTAGCTTCTATTCCAGTGAGGCCTTTGTCACTTCTGAATATACAGAGGTAGTGTAAGTACTACGATGAGTTAGAGCCGAGTAAAGGGATACAGAGTGAAGGGGGTTGCTGGGGTAGCCGGGAAGACCCCTATGGGGAAATGACACGAGTAGACTTGAATGAAAAGAAGAGTTGTGGGTGAATAATGTTCTAAGCAGAGGTAACATCAAACACAAAAGGCCAAAGGGGGAGATATTCCTGGTGAGTTCAAGGGCACACAAGACAACTGTAGCTAGAACACAGTCCCAGATCCTGGGCAGCCAATATCCTCAAGCCCACTGTTATTTCCTAGGTTGGAAGCAGGTATCCCTGACTTAGTTTAAGGTGTGTAAGGGACTGAGGCTAAGAAAAGCAGTAGCAGTGTAACTCAGTGATCAGAAAAGTGGCTGTAGGGTCAGATGGCTTAGTTTGAATCTCAATTCTGTACTTACAAGCTGTGTAACCACGGACAAGTTATCTAATTGGTCTGAGCCCAAGTTTCCTCAGCTGTAAAATGGACATAATAAAGTACCTGTTTCACAAGTTGGTTATGAGGATTAAATGAGACAATCCTTGTGCATCAAGATACAATTGATCATTGTCATTACTGTGCACTACTCTGAAGTCATTCTCAAAATTATGTCAAGGTAAGGAATAAATTAATTTGAGCCTTAAAACATAGATTACTGACTGGTGGAATGGCAACATGTTGTTGGGGAATTATTTTTTTAGGTTACATGTTACAAGATACATGTAACAGGTATTGTTAAGGAGAAGGAATTTTACTGGTACTATAGCTTTCTGATTAAATGGCATTACTATGTGCATTCAGGTAGTACCAAGACAACTTCCTCGATACCTATAAAATCTACACATAAACTCAGCATTTTTCTCATGGCTGTAAAAATCCTGTGTTGGGGGTACAGAAGGCAAGTCTGACTGTTTGTTCCTTCTGATCACATGTTTTGTAGCTTCTCTGTCTCATTCTAAGTCATGAGGTACCAGACAGTAAACCAGGCTTGAAATACAATGACTTGAAATTTCAGGCCATCAGACGGTGTGAGTTAGCAACTTCAGTATTCCAGGAGGTTCTTATCTTTTGAATATTCTGAGTAATGACCCACATTCACAGAAATGCATCTTAACTTTATGATGGAAATATGCTTACATGAAGTACTTTGAAACTTTTTGGTTCTCAGTATTTAATGCCATAATGGGTAGAAACAGGTAAAATGAAGAATTCACCAAAATTATATTTTGCACCTACTAGCCTTTAGGAACTGCGTTAGGCTTTGAGAATTCATTATTGATCTCCATACAGTCCCTGCCCTCAAGGATATGTTGACTTTTATCTGCATCAATATTTTCAAATGACAGCTTAAAAACACGTATTTGATCTTGATGCAATTCATTTGGCAACTTCAGGGAAAAAAGATGCATCATGTATTTCTCTCTTTTTTATTCTTTTCTAAGAGATGTTGAGGGGGAGGCAATGGATGGACAGGCTTTGAGACAGATTAAATCCTGACTGGGTCACTTACTAGCACTGTGTGACATAGGATAGGGGAAGCTAGAACAAGTTATCTGAGTCCCAGTCATTCTCATTCATAAAATGTGTAAAATCACCGGAATATTGAGAGAACATGTATATAGCTGCTTTGTAGTAAAAGGTAACCATTATTATTAGCATCACTCGGTGTGATGTTGGAACTTTAGAATTAACAGTATTTTTTTCCATTCCCTGTTAGTTATTTAGCCTCTGGTATGAACAAGGAGAATTAAAAATTATTACCCAGGGCCCACTACATGTCTTATGTTTAACCAACTTATACAATGACCTGTAGTTCCATTCCTAGACACAAGGGTCAGGCATTCCAAGGTCTGACTGTGGTTAAGTTAAACACTATTTCCAGCAGTCTGTCTAGTTAGGTGACTATACCTAAGCATTGTGGAATGGGGGTGGGAGGGTCCATTTTCGGTTTAGGTAACAACACATGTAAGGGGCAGGCTGGAACCAACTGCAGCCACTTTTATTTTATTTATTATCCATGTTTTCCCACAAAGCTCAGAGAAGTGCATTAGCGGAGCTGGGGCCTGGTGAGAAGCATAGCTAGATCAGAGAACCAGTCCCGGTGATGGAGGGGGTGACCCACTGTTACACAGATCACCCCTTCTCTGCCTTCTGAGGAATCGCCAGAGCCATACAAATGGAAAGATCCCTAAAAATCACCTACTTAGATGAACTGCCCAAACCTTTTTGCGAAATTTAGTGGTTATATGCATTTTTTTAATGTAGAGAAGGTTTATAGTTCTCACTAGATTCTCAAAGGAGTCCATACCTGAGAAAAACGAGATTTGCTGATACAGTCCAACTTCCTCACATTAACAGGTGGAAAAACTGAGGCTTAGCAAGAGTAAGGCAGTTGCTTCACATCAAACAACAGGGGTTTAGAAGCGAAGACCTTTCCATTCCAATTCCGGCCTCACACTCGGGGCTCTGGCCAAGGATGATACCTCCTCGCTTCTGTGCAGACTCTGAAAGCTCCCCGGGAAGGGCTGGTGTCCGAGGACTGGAGATGTCGTAGGCGGTCCAGATTCCCAACACAAGGAGACGGGCCAAGTGCTCAGAGGGGCTCCGCAGCCGCGAAGATTCGCCCACCCTGGCCTAATCCAGTGCAATTCCTTCGCTTCGGTGACTCCAGGGGTAACATCAAGCACTAGGAGACCCCGGGAAGTGAGGCGGTTCGGCGGCCGCTAAGAACAACGCCAACCCACTCACCTGCCAGAGGAAGCAGGCACGCCTCAAATGCCTGTCCAGAGCGAACCCGCTGTAGAGCGCCGAGGCAGCTACGAGAATAACAGGAAATGACGCCAGGCGCACGTGCTGCCGAGGGGCGGGGGCGGGGCGTTTGAGATGCGCTGGCACCGCCCCGCGCCTGCGCAACCGTCGCCCGCCGCCCTGCCGAGTCACCAGGGAGGGAGGTGCATGGCAGGGGGCGGGGTGTTTGCCTGGGTGACGCACGCGCAGTACGACTCCGGAGGCGCGGGCTGGCCCCTCCGCCGGTTTGGATCCGGGTCAGTCAGGCCCCGCGATCGGGTAACGACGAGCTGGGCAGACCGGACTGGTTCACGGGAGCGCCCCAGCTGCAAGCAAGGAGGTGAGTGCCCCGACGTGGCAGGGAAGGGCTGCGGTACCCTGTCTTGGTCTCCAGGCCTGGCCTGGCCGCGGGCGGCTTACACCAGGCCCGCCGCCTTATCGCGTCGTCCCCCGGTGCTGACTGCCTGGACCGGGCCGCGCCTAGCCTCTCTGCGTCCCTTCGGTTGCTGCGGCCTGGCCCTACCCGTGCTCCGCTCTCGCTCCCCTTCCCGCCTTCCTGTCCTCTCGCGGCTGCCGCCCCGCCCGGCGCCTCTCCCGCCCGGCTGTAGCTTCCCCTTTTCTCCCTTCTCGGCGGCCCTTTGCCGCTTCCCGCCCTTTCCCGCTCGTTTTTGAGCCCCAGTCTCTTTGGCTGCCTCTTCGGCTCCGCTCCCGCCTCCTCCTGCGTCCCTTGCTCCTCGGCCGTATTCAAGACTCTTATTCTAGCCCAGGGAGTGTCCAGAAGGGGCAGCTTTCCAGACTCCGGATGGACCAAGCCAGGGTCCTGGACAGCTCCCACTCCTTGACCTCCCCCCCCTAATTCCCCTTAAGTTCTGACCTTTCCCCCTGATCCTGTTTAACGCGACCAATTCAGATTCTGGATGAAAAGAATTAACGTCATCGGTGCTCTAGCACCGACAGTGTAGGGGTGGGGTAAGCGTGCAGAGAGGTATTTTTCTTGGGGCCCGATTGTTTCAACCTAGTTTTATTTGCGTCTTCGAGAATTGCTGGACAGGGTTTTCCTTCCCGCACCCCACGCTTCCTGGTAGACTGGGAAAGTTTCTGAATCTTAAACGTTGTGATGACACGCTTACGCGCGGATCCTTTATTGATCCATCTCAGGTCTTTCAGGATTCTGGAATTTGGTCCTACTCTTGAGGTTCAGAGGTCTTGTTTGAAACTGCAAAATGTAAGAAGATTGTGACACACAGAGAAACCAGGAATTTGCCCTTTTGGTAGAGGAACTTAGAAAAATTTTACTTATTATTTTTGAAAGGTTAAGGCAAAGTTAAATTGCCCCTTGTGGTTTGACTTAAAATAATGCAAAGTAACTTCTAACAGGCCTTTAAAACTTTGATTCTTTGGGGATTGTTAAGCTTTAAAAAGTCAGTCTCCCACTCATTTACTATTAATAAAAAGAATGTACCAATTATCAGCTACATGTTTCTTGGAGTTAGTTTTACAACTCCTGATTTCAGTGAATGGGAAGCTAGGAATACAGAAGAGCATTATAATCCCTTTATTATTACAGACATGCTCTGATTTAGCTCTTACGGTCATGCTCAAGACTCACCTTTGTTCTGGATTAATATAACTGAGAGGAAAAGTGAGTAATCAGAATATTAGAAATCCAGAAATAGTTTAGACAAAACTTCATTCTTCAAGTTTTAGTCTGTAGCCGGTTTTTATTTTGGTCTGTTTTAGTTTTTCAATAATACACAGATCTTTTGTGTGTCAACAAGAACTAAGTTTGTATTAACATCTAGAGGTCACCTGCAGTGTGCTATTAGGTTTGCGCTATACAATTAAAAATTTCATATTTGGATGCAGAGCTTCTTAGCACAGCATTAGTGATGGAATACCATCCCAGTTCTTACAGGAATGGGGTTCCAGTCCTGGTATGTGTCAGGTTCATCTTTTATCTGTAGCATCCAATCTAGTGCTAAAACAAATGGTGGGAATTCTATAAATACTTGTGGAAAGAATGAATTTCTGCCTATAGAATTAAACAGTGTATATTTATATGTGATGTGTACTGATTTCCAGAGAGGCCTGAAAAGGGTTTGTGTGTGGTCTATAGGGTTGGGGAGACTGGCACAGATGATTTAACTCTATGGGCCCAAATAGCATTTCACTGACTGGTCATAGAGTAATTGAGGAAAACTAAGTCAAACTTTAATTTAGTTCTCCCAGCAGGAAGAGTTTGTTTACATCCTACCATAACACTTTTTAAAGATGTTATGGAGCTTCAAAAATATTACAATATGTGATCTTTGCTCACCTCTCTCCCCAGGTATATAGACATTATTGTGTTCCTGGGGGATGACACTCCTCTAAATTTATAAAAATTAGAGACCTGTGAAGTTTGTAGTAATATTTCCTCAAGTTCATGTACTGGTTAAATAAGCCAGGAAAATATATGTGGGGAGTGTATTTACATTTTTTCTATCTTAAGAAATTGAAGTGAAAGCTACCTGAATTATCCTGAGACTGTTTTCAGTGTTTCCCAGAGAGATCTGCCTAAAATACTTTCTACTACACATAAATAAATGAACAGTCTTGATTCCTTGCTGCTTTATTCTGCCACTCGTACTACACGGTCGCATTATATCTATCCAACATATTATGACACCCTGACCTTTGGAATACTAGAGGGCTAACAATAACATCAAACTCACCCCTGAGGAGCGAGCAGATACGGCATCAGAGAGGATCCGAGTGTCCACAGAGGCACTGCTCCTCCCTGAGGGTGCCTATGGGCAGTGGGGGGATGGGGGCAGGGGTAGCAGGTTCGAAATAAAGAGGTGAAGTGAATCCTTGGCTTCAAAAATCCCCCATCTTCTATTTTTTGTTTTACTTTTTTCTTTCTGATTCCCTATGATAGATGCTTGTTTATTTTTTTTGCCCAGGATTTGGTATTAACTAATTTATTTCCATGTGAAAAAATTGGGAAACTGGATTCACAGAATTTGTTAACAGACTTCTTTGTTGTCTCTTATTCCTTTGGTTGGTCTCTTCCCCTTTCCTTTGTTTAAATATAAAAATCAAGGGGGAAGAAATGGAGAACTTTGGTTAATCAAGTGGTTTGATGAAGTGGATATCATTTAAAGACTCATCTACAGAACACTATGTATGTTTTTACTTTTGCCTCTTTCTTTTGGCTAAATTTATTTTCATCTTTGAGTTGCAAGTATAGTTCATTTATTTTTTACCTGGTGTAATAAAGTATTGAAAGCTATTTAAAAAAATGAAAGTATCAGCTTTATAGGTAGAGTGTGAAATGATTATTAATCATGGAAAATGTAATTCTGTTTTAACATTAGTGACATCTTGATCTGTGGGTATGAATTAGTATTGATATGGATGTGAATATTGTTATCTGGGTCAAGATTGCTTTAGAGAAATGCTGTCATGTGTCAGGAAGTTGTACCTAACTGGAATTGTTTGGGTTGGGCTAGACGAATACTCAGCATCATTTTAAAGAATCAAGAGTGCTGTAGGCTTTGCCTTTTATTTCTGATGCAAGGTCGTTTTGTCTGTAGGTTTCTAGACCTCTACAACTGGGGAGATTTTCCCCTCTCTGTTAAAAATATATACTTAAACACAGATTATCCGTGATCTAGTTTCCAAAACTAAAGGGATATTGGTATCAAGTATATGAACAGTTTAAATTCTGTCATAATAAATGTTTTCTGTATTCATTTCATTTATTCCTCTTAAGAAATAAAACCTACAGTCTCATGATTATCTACACTGAAACTTCCGTTTAGAAATAGAAATTTACCCCCCAACCCCGTCAACAAGCAGTAATGGTATCAGGAATATAGATTTTGACAAAAGGTATACTTTTGAACCCATTATTTTCATTTTGCTCATTTTATTTTTATTTTATTTTTAGTATTAACGGGTACATCCATAGTAGTGTAAAAACTTTCACAATGAAATCTGAAGCCAAGGATGGAGAAGAGGAGAGTCTACAAACTGCTTTCAAGAAATTAAGAGTGGATGCATCAGGGTAATTAAATATGCAATATATTTTGGGGAAATTGTTTACTAGATTTAAATAGCCTTTTCCTCTGAAGAAGAGCTCTTTCTCTTCTAAAATTTCTCATTTTTCATAGGAGATGTAAGTATTAATTGGGTGACATATTACCAAATTCTGCATAGCACTGTTTTACTTAAAAAAGAAACTCTTCTGTTAAATTTTGGAAAAGCAGCAGCTCCTTTGTACTCCAGGGTTGGGTGTTCTGGTTTTTTTTAACTTTGAGGAAAGTCCCCCCTTCTCTTATTAACCAAATGTTATCAAGCAATGTCCCATCAAGGATTTCCTCATACATCTCTAGGGAATCAGTGTGTTTCACTAGAATTGAATTTGCTCAGTGGAAATCTCTGCAGACATGGTCGATTTCATGGGCTCTGATGGCTGAGCCTGTCACTATGGAAACCTATTCATTAGGGTTCTGTCACTGAGATCAATAATCTTGGACCCTTTGGCCAAACTAATTAGAGCACCTGCAGACCAGCTGCTGTCTGAATGTTAATATTTCGCTCTTTGCAAAATATTCTCTGCAGGACTCTGCTTATCCCCATTCTTTTCCCTAGAACATAGGAAATCTCAAATTTTTAAAGGATATAGGAGTACTTCTTTTCATAAATGGAAAACAAACACTGGAAGCTCAGAGTAGAATACCTCACAACAAGTAGTAATAATCACTAAAAATTATTACTCACTCATTATGCCCTAGACACTGTCTTAAGTCCTCCATACACATTTTCTCTTTACTACCAACTCAGAGAGTAGATGCTACTGTTACTACAGTTTACACATGAGCTACAGACAAGTCACTTGCTAAAGGTCCATTGGTAAGAAGTGGTGGAGCCCGGCTTTGAAACTAGACAGTGTGTCTCCAGAACCTGTGCTTTTAAGCACTCCTTTATATAGGGTACCTTGAAGACACCATAAAAATTTGCATGCAGAATCTGACACATAGTAAAAATGAAACGTGTTCATTATAGCTGTCTGCTTATTGCTAGTACTATTTTTTGCCTACCAAGTGAGAAGATTTATACTAATTGATTTGTAGAATGGCTGTTACAGGTACTCACATAATGCTTCCCTGATACTTTAAATAAGTGTCTTTCTCTTCCCAATGGTTTTTCTAATATCATCTTGCCATTAAAATTGATCAGTACTTTACAAACCATTCAGGGAAATGGAAACAAAGCAAGAGACAATTCTAGATTGTGGTCACAATATATTATATATAATTCCTTTGTGATTTCTGATATGGGAAAAAATTCTTTTTTTGAATCAGGAAAATATTAACAAACGTACACACACACACACACACTCTAAATATTAAACGTACACACACACAGAGACGCACACACACGCACACGCCCCCCCCCCCTTAGTGTTTAATATCCATAAAAGTTACTCTTGATATCTGGATTTCCTTCCTTGTGTTTTAAGAGGTTGGAACATAAAATTAAGCTTTTTGGGCACACCTAAAAATTGCTTGGAACATTAGGGGAAAAAAAACCCTTTCAAAATATCTGTACAACATATGGCCAAATGCTGCATATTTATAGCATGGGGTCTGCCTTTCGTAAAATTGTAGGAGAAGAAGCACTAGAGAACATTTGAGAAAACCAAATAAGAGTAGAAGGGGTGAGTCACTACTATGACTAAGCAGAGTGAGACTTAAGCAGTATATTATACATTTGTAGTTGTTTTCACTGTTGCTGATTTACAAATAGGACATCTGAGGTACTGACTCATAAGCTAACCAAGCCTTGCCAGAATTTAGCATGATCCTGTTCAACAGGTTTTGACTCTTAATGGTATTTGTCTTATCAGAACAAATTTCTGTATTTATTTTAAGACAACATAATCCTTTTTATATGGCTATAGAATAATGTATGCTTATTATAGAAAAATTCATAACAAAAAGGAATAAAAATCACAATTTACTGTAAGCAGTGTTAATGTCTAGACCATCTGAATATAACACCATACACTTTTTTTTTTACATTGCTGAGATCGAATGTATGTGCACCTGTTTATCCATGCTGTTTTCTCTTAATATTACAAACATTCTCCCATGTCATTAAAAGTTCTTTGTACCCTTAATTTTTAATAAAGTCCTGTTCCGTTGTATTGATGTACAGTATTGTCTAATTTTGGACATCTAGGTTATTCCTAGTTGCTTTTTATTTCAAATTTTATTTCAGTAAACATTTGTACTTTAGTAGATTAACATCTCTTTCTAAGGACTTTTATTAATACCATGGCATGTATAGACCAGAGTGTATGTATATGTGTATCAGAAAGGTCTGGAAGGATTTGTACTAAAATGTTAATGTTGGTAATCTCTGGGTTGCAAGATTATAGATGATTCTTTTTTTCCCTTTCTTTTAAATTTTTTCATCTTCTTTAATGGGAACCCATATTGTGTAATTAATTTTAAGTTACAGAGGTTTAACTGAGTAATAGTTCAAGTTTATTAGTTATAAAAATTAGAATATTTTTCTAAAAGTTGTGATATTTGAAAATATATTCACTTTCAAGTTAGAGTTGGTCTCCCAAAGTTTTTGCTCCTAAACTTAGCTCCCACAGCTCTGATTTGCCCACATAAAATAAGCGGTCAGCATGATTAGCATTCTCTGTAGATGGGAGGTCTGATCTGCCCCAGATACACAGCCTAAAGTTCTATTTATATCCTGCTGCTGGTTATACTTAAGCATTCTTTGCCTAATGATTTTGCAACTCTGGGCTTTTAGGGATTCTCCAAATTTGGTTTTAGAGGAAAATTTACACTAAAAGCTAAGCAGTTTTTTGAGAAAAACCAAACTGAAAAGAAAGATATTAATACAAGTTGTATTTGAGTTGGTGAGAGCCTTAAAGTTCCCCTTGCATAGTTTTCTATAGCAGTAAACTTTGTTCTTTCCTTCAGGTCCATAGCGTCTCTGTCTGTCGGAGAAGGCACAAGTGTCAGAGCATCCGTCAGAACAGCAGCAGAGGATACCAAACCTAAAGCCACGTGTGCATCTAAAGAAAGCTGGCATGGGTGAGAGCTCCTTACTGCGTGATTTTTATGCAGTAAAAATTTTATGTTTTTTATCTCAGTACTTTAAAATATTGCTGGATTTTCTTTCCTGACTATCCAGTAAAGAGTATGTTACATCTAGAACCCAAGACTCAAATATTAGAAAAGACCCATTTTTCTCAATCATGAATTTGCTGAGACTTGCTGTATGGCCTGGCTCAGGGTCAATTTTTGTAACTGTTCCATATGTGTTTGAAAAGAATGGGTCTTCTCTAATCATTCTTGGGTTCTGTTTATGTTCATTAAATCATGCGTTTAAGTGTATTATTTGAATCTTTTTTCAAATAATTTTTTTGTCAACTTGACATATCAGTAATTGGGAGATGTAAATTGAAATCCCCCCATGCGAGTGAATTTGTCTGTTTTCTGTTCAAGTTCTGTATTGCTAAAGTGTTTGAAGCTATTTTATTAGGTTCATACCAGTTTAGAATGTTTTCTGCTTGGTGAATTAAGACTTATTATACAGTGACATCGTAATCCCTCCTAATAGCTTTTGTCTTAAAGCGTATTTTTCCTAGAATTAATGAAGCTAATCTAGTCATCTTTTAGTGGTTGCCTAGTATATCTTTTCTATTTTTGTTTCAGACCATTCTGTTTTAAAATTTTAGGTGTGTTTCATAAATATGTATGCCTTATTTTGTTTGGCTTTATTCAGTCTTACCTTTTTTTAACTGCTAAGTCACTACATCTATATTTATTATCGTTACTAACTTACTTGGACCTGTTTCTGCCATTTTATTTCATACTATTTGTCCTTTTTTTCCCCCCTCTCTTCCCTTCTTCCCTCTCCTCCTCACCCTTTTTAATTAATTATTTGAAATGGGTTTGTTTTTGTTTTTTCCCCTTAACCATTTTTCCTTCTACTGGTTTGGGAATTGTATACTATGTTTCTATTCTTTTAGTAGTTAGCCACGAAATTCTACCAAACATGCCTAACAAAGACAAAAGTTAATATTTTAGCCCTCCTTAGAACTTGTTTATTCTGACCTTCTGGCTCCCATGGTGTAGTTTGCCCAATGTTTTAGTTCTGTTCCTTTTTTTTTTTTAATCTCACAAATTAGGTTTTATTTAACCTGATGTATTGTTTAAATTTCTTTGCTCACCATTCTTGTATCTCTGACCTTCCATAGGATCACTTTCTTCCTACTAAAGTACTTAGAGAAGTTTCTATGGTAAAGGTCTGTTAATAGTAGATAGGGCCTCTTCTTTATAGAACTCCACATAAAATAAATTTGAATGTTTGTATAACATCATGTTCTTTTGGGAAATAAACTTTGACTTATCTGAAAATATCTTTATTTCATCCTCATTCTTGAAAGGTAAACTTGATCTGATACACCTGAAATTAACAGTTCGAGCTTGATATTTCTTTTAGCACTTGGAAATACTATGCAGTGTCTTCTGGCTTCATTGTTAATGTTAAAAAACCTACTTTCAGTCTAAGTATTGTTTTGGAAATAATGTGTCTAGTCTCTGGCAAGATGTTCCTTGTGGATATCTAGATGTGGATTTTTTTATTTGTCCTGTTTCAGTGTGTTTCCCAAATCTGTAGCTCTGATTAATTCAGAAAGTTTCTCAGTCATGATCTCTTCAAAAATCAGTTGTTCTCCATTCTCTATATTCTTTCCTTCAGGGACTCTAGACTTCTTTTTAATTCTGTTATAGTATCTTTAACTCCTTTACATTTTTCCAAATCTCTTTAGTCTCTCTACTGCCTTTCAGGGGCACAGTGGTTGGCAGACTTTTTTTGTAAAGTACCAGATAGTAAATATTTTAGGCTTTGGAGTCCAAGAGGCTAGATCCAAGAATATTATGTAGGCACTTAGGTAAGCAAGGAAATTCCTGCCCTGCCCCATTTGCCTGATGTGCACCATCCTGGCTGGTGGACATACCTCGTGCTCAGTTGCTGACACAGTCTCCGAATGAAATGACCAGCCTTGGTAGGCAGGGTCAGCACCGGGGTCAGTTCAAGTCTCTGCTCCAGTGCCACCCAGATGCCAGCATGCCCTTCTGTCCTCCAGAGAGCAGACTCTTGAACTGAAAATCTACGTTCTGCACCTAGCATTTGCCAACAGCAGAGCCCCAACATGTGGATTGTAGCTAGTGTGGGCCCTAAGCAGTGGTGCGATACATGTGCTGACCCAAAAGGCAGGCATGGGAAGTGGAGAGGAGAATGGGCGAAGGGGAACACCCCGGCCTGGGCTCTGCGGCTCACAGTGCTCACCCATGGGAGCAGGGGCCATGGCTGTACAAGAGCAGGTAGGGGGCAAGACTTAGCCACAGACGAATTTGCTGGCCCCTGTTACAGATAATTTGATTTACCTCTGATCCAGTTTTTATTTAGTTATATATATTCTGCTGTTTAGCCCATCCATTTAGTTTAATTTCAAATACAAAGTTTTTTTATTTCTTAAAGTTCTGTTTGTTTCTGTTTTCAGATTTGTATAGCAGTTTTGTGTCTTTTTTTCTTTACTCTGTTTTTTTTAATGTTTTATAGAATGCTCCATAGTGTGTCTGATAATTTCCCATATTTGAAAACTTGTAGGAGTGTAAATCTGTCAGCTTTGTCAGTGATAGAACTGAATCCTGAATCTGCTGCGCTGTTTGGTATGGTGGTGTGGCGTTTGTAGCATTAGTCTCGCAGTGGTACTGAAGCTGCTTCCTTCAGGATGTAGAGTACCCCCTTTGGGCTTTACAGCATCAGTTTAAGTTTTCTGTGCAGGATGCTTCCCAGACCTATTGGTCAAAGGTTCCCAGGTCCAGGGGTGGAACAGGGCAGGTGTTCTGCACCAGATGTTTGGCCCAAGAAATGCAATTCAAAACCACGCTTTACCTCTCCTGTTTCTTTAGCTTGCTAATAGGAGATGTTGAAGGTTTTGAGGTACAGAGATTTAGGGAGCTTGAAAATGGAGGTAGGCACATATCTTTGGGAAATTTAGGACCTTAGACTCATGAACTTCAGAGGAGGTAAATGTCCATCTATCATTAATGAATCTGTTCAGGAGACTTGTGTATCCCAACAGCTTGTGCTTTTCCCTCCTTAGGTCTACAAGGAAGTCTTCACGAGGAGCAGTGAGAACACAGCGCCGTCGACGTTCTAAGTCTCCTGTCCTTCATCCTCCGAAGTTCACGCACTGTGGCACAGTGTCTGCTCCCTGCGGCCGCCTCCGGCATGGAAGCCAGACCGACACCCCTGACGGCGGCAGTGGGCTGGGAATTCCAGCCCCCAGAGAGTTCAGTGCAGGAGAATGCTCTACTTCTCTCCGTACTAGTCAAACAGGGCCAGTTGTTGAGCCTTTGAGAACTTCGGTTCCAAAGCTCCCATCAGAGAGTAAGAAGGAAGACTGCTCTGATGCTACCCAAGTCTCCCAAGCAAGTCTCAAGGCCAGTGATCTCTCTGACTTCCAGTCTGTTTCCAAGCTAAACCAGGGCAAGCCGTGTGCATGCATAGGCAAAGAGTGCCAGTGTAAGAGATGGCATGATATGGAAGTGTATTCCTTTTCAGGCCTGCAGAATGTCCCTCCCTTGGCCCCAGAACGAAGAGCCGCGCTTGAGGACTACTCTCAGTCGCTCCACACCAGAACTCTGTCTGGCTCCCCCCGCTCCTGTTCTGAGCAAGCTCGAGTCTTTGTGGATGATGTGACCATTGAGGACCTGTCAGGCTACATGGAATATTACTTGTATATTCCCAAGAAAATGTCCCACATGGCAGAAATGATGTACACCTGATAGCAAGAAGCTGATTGATATGCTTTAAACCAATGAAGGTTGTCAGATGTAGTTAATGGCAGACCTTGCAGCCACTTTGTGTGAGAAGATACCTTCTGCTCACTGTGCTTGCAATAAAAACTTTTCTTGGCATCTCAGTTAATCTCCATTCTTTAAACTAACTTCTCTGAGTTCTTACATACCCACCAAGGCAAGTGGAACAAAGACAAATCCCTCTCATTTAGAAATGTTCTTGGGGGATGAAGAAACCAAAATTACTTGACTGGTAGCAGTGACTATACAGTAATAGCCTTTGCAAAACAGTGCATTTTTCAGATCTGTCTAAGATATGGTGGCCAAGGAAAAGGAAATGTGGTTTTGTAACTGGGCTGAACATCTGTGATGCTGTAGTTGCCAGCTTGGAATTATTAGAAGTTATAACGACTGATACAAACCATCTTATTAATCCAAGATTTATTATGTCTTTCAAGGCTTCTTAATGTTGTTACTAAGCCAGAGATCTAAGGTTTAGATTCCATGTGAATAAACTAGCTGGCCTGACCTGTATTGTGTGAAAGAATCATTACCCATTACTAAATAACCCCTTGCTGGTGCTCTTTACCCCAAGATTACTTACATGAAGTCTTTCAAGTAAGGACTGGGAGTGGGCTGCTTCAGTTTGGGGTGGGGGTGGTGGGGGTGATACTTGAAACCAGCATGCATTTCTCCAGCCCTGGCATTTGAATGTATCTGACAGACTTCAGTCAGTTGTGATGTAGATCTCATAGCCCAGTTTCATATATTCTAGGTGGATATTACCTCTTTGTACTGCCCTACTCCAGTCTCCAGACAATTTGATAAATCTGGTATCCTGTGTTTTTGGTTGACCATCTCAAAATTCCCTCCAAAGTTAAAAAAAAAAAAAAACAGTATCAGATGGAGGATGAATCTGTATTGTCAGGTAACTCCAAAGTAAATTACATATGCCATGTAATTGGTGGCTTAATTCAGACCATCCTAAGCATACCCATCAAATTAGTGAAAACTTGTCCAGCCATTTTAACATCATGTTAACAAAAGGTTTGGTTTGATTACAAAATAAGTTTTATTCCTTGCTAAAACATCCCGCTGAGAGGTTGATTCACTATAGTGTTGGGGTCTGTGCTTTACAATAGATGATATGCATTTGAGAGGAGTGGTATTTACTGGAGAAGCCCTCAGTTTAAGTAGTGAGCGACCTCCCCTAGTTACCAGTTTAGTAACATCTAAAAGCTGTAGTTACTAGTTGGAGCAAAATCTTCCTCAAAACATGAATCTTGAAGCTAAAAATAACTGCTCGGACCCAGTTGGGCCAACTTTTAAGAATGTCCCTCATTGGAACATTTGACCTTTTGTGTGTGTAACTTCCTGAACCAATCTTTCTCCAGTCCATCTTGTAGAATGGATTCAGATAATGGACTGAGGGCTTTTTACTCCTGAGGCTTTGAAAAATAACATCCTGACGTGCCTTTATTTGGTAACTACTCACTGAACATTCATTCAGTCGTTTATTGAAAATATCATTGAGTCCCTAACATGCCAAGCTCACTACTAGGTGTTGGGAATAGAGCAGTGAGCAGAACAACAGCCTTGCCCTTGGAGAAGGTGCTATGGACAAAGGATCAAGAGATAGTAAGGGCTGGGGCAGGGGGAGGAGTTGCTAATTTATTTGCTGTGGTCAGAGAAGCTGTAACAAGGTGACATCTGAGCAGAGACCTGGAGAAAGGAAGGGCGTGAGCCATGCGGTTATTTGGGGGACAGACATTCCAGGCAGAAGGAACAGCAAGGATATCAAACAGCTTGCAGCAGGCAAGGTCACAGAAATGCGGCAGGGGCTGGTCATGGAGGGCCTTGTAGACTTTTTTTTTTTTTGGTATCATTAATATACAATTACATGAGCAACATTGTGGTTACTAGATTTCCCCCCATTATCAAGTCCCCACCACATCTCCCATTACAGTCACTGTCCATCGGCGTTGTAGACTGTTTTAAAGGCTTTGACTCCTGGGTGAGGTGAAGAGCCATTGAGGGGGTTGGACGAGAGGAGAGGCATCAGATTTGGCTTTTGCAAAGCACTGGCTGCTGTGTGTGGACTAGGGAGCAGGGAAGCAAGGAGAGCAGTTGGGAGGCTGTTGGAGTAAAGCAGGCAATGGTTTTTGGTGGCTTGGACACTTGGCAGTGCAGGAGATAAAACATTGTGGAATTATTTTGGAGGTAGAGCTGAGGAATCTGCTGATGGATTCTGTATTAGGTGTAAGAGAAGGATTTGAATTAAGGATGACTACAAAGATTTTAAGCTGGGAGCTGGCTGGAGGAGCAGATACAGGAAGGGAAATTGGGAGTTGAGTTTTAATCTTGTGAAATCTGAGGTATTTGCCAGGACATGTAGGATGAGTTGGTGGCTGAAGATCAGGAGAGGGTACAGATGTTACTTAAAGCTATGAGACTGGAGAACGCCTGGGAAGTGAATGTAGAGATAGGATTGGCCAGAGGACCTAGCTCTGCGACATTCCCAAAGTACAGATGTCCAGGGAATGAGGAGGAACCGGCAGAAGACTGAGCAGAGTGGCACCAAGAGAGGGGTCCTAGAAGTCAAGTGAGAGAGCACGTCAGGAAGGGACTTGTCAGTTGACAAACCTTGCAGAGGAGATGAGGAGCACCCACTATGTGCCAGGCTGAGCCATAGTGCCGGTCATTTAAAAGTAGGTGTTCATGCATTCTGGGGGGGAATGCTGTTAACTTGCTTTGAACAACTCAAAAGAGTTTGGGGGAGGAGCCAGCTTGTGGGAAGGCACCTAACCCAGCAGGAGGTGAGAGTCCAGCCGAGTCTTCAGTGCTGAGAGGAGACGTGGATCTGGGTGCAGTCTTAAGAGCTCTGGATTTTCAATTCCCTCCCGTCCAGACTCCCTAGGAACAGCTATGCTTGAGAAGTTGAGAAGGAAACAAAGGAAGCAAATGACTTCCCCCTTTGGCCAAAGAACAGAAGTACGGAGCAAGAAAAGACTTGGAAAGAAGAAGATGAGATAGCTATCTCTAAAAACAGTTTAAAATTCATTCCGAGTTTAGTAAATTCCATTCGGTGGGAAGAATTTGGTTTTCCTAAGGAAAATCTGCTGTAGTGCACATATATGGCCACAAGGGGTCTCCCTTTTCCAGAAAGGGGCTGGTTTAAAGGGAGGAGCAGAAAGGTGATGGCTGGTCAAAAATCTCAACACGGGTCAGGAAGGCCAGTACCAAACTTGGCAAAGAATTTAAACTCTAAAGAGATCAAAGTGTCCCTTTACCAATCACATAGTTTATCAGTTTAAAAAATGAAAAACCACAGGGAAATGTGGAATAAACACCTATCGAGAAGAGTAAGGTAAGGAATGCTTCGTTGTCAACCTACTTAGTATTTAGGGGGTGATTCTTGCCTCTTTGTAGCTATTTTATTGAGCATGATAGCTTGAAAAGCAACTTATGTGAGGGTCATATTAATAGCTAACATTTATTAGGTGTTGAGTGTGTTTTAAGCCTTTTTATAGCATTAACTCACCTAATCCTCAATAATAAGGTAGATAATACTCTCCTTCATACTATATAATCCTTTGGGATAGGTACTTTTACAGATAAGAATTTGTGGCTTAGGAAAATTAACAGTTGGTCCAAAGCTACATAGCTCGTGAGGGGCAGGACCCAGATTTGAACACACATCTAACTCCCCAACTATCTACACTACACAGCCTATGGTAAGTATGTGGAGTCATGAATGTGTAATAGTTACTGAATTTGAAAACACAGTGGATCTGTGTTTTCAAGAGGAATGAGAGTCAGATTGGTCCAAAGAGCTTTTAAAAAGAATGTAACTGCCTAAGCCCTCTCCCAGGACAATCTAATTCAGTAGGTTGAGGGTGGGGTGGGGGTCTGGAATCTCTTTATGTTTTTAAGTTCTACAGGTGGTGCTTACGTGTACCCACCCTTGGTGTAGGGAGCCACCACAGGGAGCTGTGAACAACGAAGGAGGGAACCAAGAACTGAGCATCTGCTGGAATGAGGGCAGAGAACATTGTTCTATCCATTTCTGAAACAAGAACAAATCTTTTGCAGTGACTTTAAGTGGCCTAAGTCATCATGGGATTTGGAGTATGTCAGACAAGTTTGAACACAGAGAGTAGTGTGTTCTCAAGTCCTGTGCTTGCGTTTTGAGTGATTGCCATCTCCCCACCCCCCATCACACACAGCTTCCTGCTCTAGGTGGCTCCTACCTTTCCCAAAATTACTCCACGCTCCTGTTAACCCTGGGCTTGGTTGGGATTTCCGATCATTAGCCGCAGACACAGCTTCATGTCATGGAGATTTATTTGTTCCCTTTCCCTGGAGTTTGGTGGGAACCTGAGCACTGGGAATCCACCCAGGCCCTTTGCTCTTGACCCTGCCCCAAGAGCTTTATGAAGTCTGGCCTCACAAGCTGTTAGGACACCAAAGCAAAAGAAAGCTTGCAAAGGAAGTTTCTTTTTTAAAAATCATGATCCTTGAGCATTTCTGAGATGACCTCCAATACAACCAGCAACTCTCTGTCTCCAAGATAGAGGACTGGCTCTTCGCCTGTCAGAGGACAAAGAAAGGGAGCAACTGGTGCCTTCTGCAAGGGCTCTTCCCAGGGTTTTCCCAGGGTTGGGGTGGACAGCCAGGCAGGGAATTTGGGGCTGGACTCTATAGTCCAGACTCTGCTACCAGAAACTCTCTCCCGAGTTCCCTCTTCTGCTTTCAAAAGCATATGTGAAACCCTGTCCCGTTCCTTTCTCTTTAGGGCACCAGATTCCCTCATGGGGCTGGCAGTGGGAATAGCCTCAGGTCTATTAGGGCGTGTGAGTGGTAGGGGCCTGAGATTTGCCAACCTCTGTGCTCTGAGGATTTTTAGTGTTCCAGGACTGGGTGTTCACTAATCTTCCAATCCCCTCCCATCCTGATCCTCTGCCCACTTCCTGCACGCAGACCCAGGGGACCCTCAGGGTGGAAGGGAGCTCCTACCAGGGGAGGAAACACCACCACATCGCCCCAGCTGCCTACACTTAGTTCCCAGCTTCCCTTGCTTATCCCTCCAGCCACTCCCTGGGCCTGAAGCACCGGCCCAATTTGAAACACCCCTCCCGCTCTGAAGGAGGCTGGGCTGGCCAGGGGGTTATTTTGGGAGCAGCTCGGAGATCCAGTGGCCTTGTTAGGGCAACACTGACCTTTCCATCTCAGGAGGAGGGCAGGACTGGAGCGGGGGCGGGGCAGCGGCGGGAGATCGACAGCCACGCACAGCCCCTGGGGTGGAGAAGGGGGCCACCCCGCAGGAATTCAGCCTCGGGCTGGGGGCTGTCACCGAGGTGGACTTTCCACTCTTTGGACCCCTGCACCCCGCCCCTTTCACTGTGCTTCTTAAAGAGATCACACCGTTTTTCCTTTGACTCCAGGGAAGCCAGACTTGGGACGCCCTGTGGAGACTGACTCTTTCCCTCCCTCAGCTGCCCTCCCAGCCGGCAGCGCGCCCGGCCGACTGAGTGGGGGCCTCCCCGGCATGGCACTGACCGGCCCCTCTGGTGCTGACTTGGCTCGTGGGCTCCTGCCTCTGAGGGCGTCTTGCTGCCCTGTCCTGGGGCACGGTGGAGAGTTGGGGGCCCAGCCCTGAGCGTTCCAGGGGTGTCGCCTGTGCCCCCGTCGCCCTCTCCCCCCAAGCTGGAGGACGGAGAGGTGGTCAGGGGCTATGATGAGATGAGCGGGGGCCGCTTTGACTTTGATGATGGCGGGGCGTACTGCGGAGGCTGGGAGGGGGGCAAGGCCCATGGACACGGGCTATGCACGGGCCCCAAGGGCCAGGGCGAGTACTCCGGCTCCTGGAATTTTGGCTTTGAAGTAGCGGGAGTCTACACCTGGCCCAGTGGAAACACCTTCGAGGGGTACTGGAGTCAGGGCAAACGGCATGGGCTGGGCATAGAGACCAAGGGACGCTGGCTGTACAAGGGTGAGTGGACACACGGCTTCAAGGGACGCTATGGAACCCGGCAGAGCAGCAGCAGCGGCGCCAAGTACGAGGGCACCTGGAACAATGGCCTACAGGATGGCTATGGCACCGAGACCTATGCTGATGGAGGTGAGCCCAGCTGGGCCTGCAGGGTGGGGCAGGGGGCTGAGGCTGAGTCGGACTGTGGGAGATGGGAAGGGCAGGGGCAGGTGCACAGAATCGGAGGGGCCAGGTGTCATTTGCTGTGGGGCATTGGGCGAGCTGCCCTGCCCCTTGAGCATCCATCTCCTTATCAGCAAAGGTGGTGCCAACAGCAGGGCTACTGAGAGGACTGGCAGGGGGGCTTAGGACAAGTCCTGCCTTATAAACACACTCAAAACACATTCCGTAAAAACAAACTACTGCTTGCGTGGTCAGTGTACTAACAGCCGTAGATACACTCCTGCTTGTTCTCTAGAATAACTGAGCCTAATCTTAACTTGGCCATAAAAATAATTTTCAAGCAATAGATCATGAAGTGTTCATTCATTCATTCAGCCAGCCAGCCAGCCACACATCCGTCTTCCATCATTTCATTCAGGTGCGTTTCTGTGGTACTTCCTATTTGCCAGGCATTAAAAAAAGGGTTATATAGAGGAACAGGATAGCTATGACTTCAAAGATAGGCCGGTAGACAGTTATACACAAGTATGTACAGAGTGCTGGGCAGGAAAGAGAAGTTGGATCTAGGGGGTCAGGGACTGCTTTAAAAGCAGAGGTGACATTTGGGCTGGATCTTGATGGGAAAATGGCATTTGTGAGGGTGGGAGAAGGAGAGAGAGGAATGAGTGAAAAAACAAGTGTGAGTGTCCTCAGTGGGCTCAGGAAATGGAGAGGAACTGCCTGTGACAAAACAGCCCTGGGAAGCGGCCAAGCAGATACATCACCTCACCCACCGGTGTGACTTTGTACCTGTCACTTATTTGAGCCTCAGTTTCCTCATCCACAAAGCGGAGTGTTTTATACTATCAGTACTGCTCAAAACGTGGTCAGTAGACAGGTGGTATCAGCGTCACCTGCCCAGCACGTAGCAGCGGAAATTCAGGGGCCCTCCTAGACCTCCTGAATCAGTCTCTGAGGGTGGGCCCAGACTTCTGTTTTAACAACCCCCAGACTTCTGTTTTAACAAGCTTGTCTGGCAATTTTTATACACATTAAACTTTACAAAGTATCGCTTTAAATCAGGGGCTTGCAAACTGTAGATCGTAGGCCCACTGTGCTGCCTGACTTTGTACAGCTTGTGAGCTCAGAGTGGTTTTCATTTGGAAATGTTTGAAATAAATTGAAAGAAGACTAGTTTGTGACATGTGAAAATTGTATGAAAGTCCCTACATAATATACCCTCTTGGCCCACAAAGCCAAACATATTTACTCTTTGAGTCTTTACAGGAAATGTTTGCTGGCTCCTGCTTTAAATAGTCCAGCTCAGGGTAGTTCTTCGAAGTCTTTCTAATGTGTTCTATTGGAAAGAGGAGCTGACACAGATAAACTCCAAACTATGGCTAATTAAATGAGACATTTGGTGTCCATTAGAAGGCCTTTGTAGAGTATTTGTCGTCCCCTGTTGATGATGGAGGGCAGGAAGTGGGTGGTTTGGGAGCAGGCTGGGGTGGGGCAGGAGGGGGCCTGAGCCAGCCCCGGGTGGAAGTTTTGCTCAAGCTGAGGCCTGTGTGCATATCAAGAGCAGCCTCACGTGCAGGATGGGCTCCTAACTGGGCCACCCATTGGCGAGAATCTGCCCTCCAATGTGTCTGGATGGCAACGCAGTTGTGTCCCTGGAGTTTCTGTGGGCACAAGGGCACCTACCCTGCCCTGGCGGAAACTGGGCAGAGCTCAGGACAAATTCTGGCTCCACACTTCCTAATTCAGTGACCTTGAGCTGTTTGCTGAACTTCGGCAATCCAGTGAAATTCAATTCATCAGATGTTTATGTCAGACACTGAGCTAAGCCCTAGGGACAAGCAGAGAGCAAGCCTGTTTCTCCTGCTATGATTTGGAGCTAAGCCCTGAGTGCCTGCCAGGTGTCAGTTACCCCTGCAGGGTGGTACATGTCTGCCGAAGGTTCTTCCCTTCCCGTTTCCCTCTCCCCTCTCTCCAAACCAACGTACATGTGTGTGCACGTGTGTGTTGGGGGCCCAGATGTGAGTCACAGGGACATGCATTTGTGCGAAACTATGGACTAATCTCCCAATCTGTCTAAAAGGGGGAAAAACCATTCATTCACTTATGCAGCCAATATTGTGGAGCACCAACTGTGTGTCAGACACCAGCCCTCAGCAAGTTCCAGGGGCCGGAGAAGTGAGAAGCAAAATCCCCAGGAGCTCCCTGTCTAGTGAAGATGACAGAAATAAACTAGAAAACAAACTGGAAATGTAATTTCCGAAGTTACTAGTGTTATTTAAAAAAAAACACAGCAGAGAAGGAAGAGGGTCACTTTTTGGATAGCATGGTCTGAGAAGTGGGATGGGAAGGACCAGAGGGGGAGGAAAGACTTCAAGGCAGAGGAAATGGCAATTGCAAAGGCCCTGAGGCAGGACTGGGCTTGGTGTGTTTGAGGAACAGCAAGCAGGCCAGGGTGGTGGGAACAGAGTGGATGAGGAGAGCAGGCAGGGTTGACACTGGCAGTGCGGGCATGGGCCAGATCATGCAGGCTCCGCAGGTCCCTAGGTTCTATCCTAGGTGAGCCCAGCAGCCCTTCAGGCCAAGTAGACCTGCACCTCAGGTTTGTCAGAGGCCCAGCCTCTTCTCCCAGATGAGAGGGCCCCACATCACAGATCTTCTCTCCCAAACCACACACGGGGCGCAACTCTCCAAAATTAGATGTGGCCGCTGCTTCGGAAAATCTCTTTCATCAACCTGTCATCAGTTCCCTGAGGGTTTGTTAAGGACCTGCCCTTTGCCCCATTCTGGGATGTGCTAAAAGGAATGTGGACAAATAAGATACTGTGATTAGGAACCATTGGGAACTGGGCAGCCCCGGGTTATCGTATTACTTAATCTCTTGGAGTCTTAGTTTCCTCATCAATAAAATGGATTTATACTAATCTCTCCTAAGATTGCTCATAGGATAAATGAGTACTCAATAAATGATAGTTACTCTTGTTACTATTAACTATCATTAATTATTAATTCATTCAATAAATATTTATTATGAAACCAGCACTATACTACACTGGGGGGTGGGTGTGGAAATGAACAGAATGGAAAAGGTGCCTGCCTTCCAGGGACTCTAACAAGAAATTGTCCTGTAGTGTGTTGGGTGTGAGGCAGGGAGTCCCAGGGACCAAGGGGGCGAGAGGGGGCTGAGCAGACTAGGCATAGGGGAGGCGCCTGGAGTAACTGGCAAGTGGGCTCGGAATCACAGAGTGAGTCAGGTGACAAGCAGAGAGGACGGGGACTTCAGGTGGAGAGAACAGAGCACACAAAAAAAGCAGGAGGCCCCAAACCTGCCACCCAGCTAGGAGATCACGCTGAAACTTGCCTCTCGTTTTGAGAAGTATTGATCAAAGGGTCACTCTGTCCCATTTCCTCCACTCCCCACTTTACCTTGCAGGCAAAGGCTGCAGGTGACTGCCCACTATAAAGCAAAGGAAAAGGCCATTTTCCCAAGGAGAGGTATTAATGCATTAATAGGTGGTGAAATCAATCTAGTGAGTCATGACCTGCACATTTTAAAATGAAAGAACAGAACAGAAGGATCAGAGCATTTCAGAGATAAAGTATTGTTTCCTGAAGCGCTTGTGCAGTTGGAGTACATGTGCGTGTCTAATGTTCGTGTGTGTGCGCATGTGTAAAAACCTCTTTGTTTCTGTGTGTGTCATGATATAAAATATATTTCTTACTGCAAGGCAGAGTCAAAAAAAGTTTGTAAATCACTATTCTGAAGTGACCTGGCATCTTCCGCGTAGCCCCTGCCATTTCCACCTCCACAAACCCTCCCCCTCCTCCACGCTTGTCCATTTGGCTGGAGGTTTTGTTCCCAGTTCACCGGTGGGGTGGCGGGAAGGCGAAGGTGGGAAGGCAAAGTTGCTCAGGCCTCCCAGATTCCGCAAGAAGTCTCCTGGCACCCCTCCCCCGCCTATAGTCCTCATTCCTCCCCTGGCCATATATAGCAAACCTAAAAATAGCTGCTGACTTAAAGCTCCAAAGCTAGCATGCCCCCAGGGCCCTTTAGTTGCAATGTGTGCTGGGAGGCTGCCTGGCTGTGCCAGCCCAGAGATGGCAGACTCCAGGACTAGAAGGGCCATTAATGATCTTTGCTTTCCAAGATATTTCACCTGGGGCCCATTCCTTGACCTCAGAGGCCCGCAGATGCCCTGAAACTGCAGGCAAGACATGCACATATGTGCATGGCCTACCTGTGTTTTTCTAGGAGGTGTTTTCTCAGACAGCCAGCAGAGTCTCAGAGTAATGGGGTGCTTGGGTAAGTTCCAAAATCACTGGTCTAGTTCAGTAATTCCCTCCCCACAATGTGCAGTAGGAGAAGCAAGCCCAGGGTTGGCCTTTTTTTATAGAGCTAATAATAACCACAGTTAACATTTTTGGTGTGCTCATTATTGCCAGGCACTGTTCTTGGTATGTAGCGTATGTTGTGTTATTTAAAGCTTCACAACCATCTCACAGGGAAGTACCATTATTAGCCCCATTTTACAGATGAGGAAATGAGAACATCTAAGGATTCTCACTCATGGTCCTCAAGCTACTAAGAGACAGAGATAGGATTTGATAGGAAGTGATAATTAAATATTTCATAGTATTAAGTATTTTAATAAATACTGTATAAAGTAGGACAGGCTACATAATTTGCAAGACCTGGTGCAAAATGAAAATGCAGGCCTCCTTCTACAAAATCATTTAAGAAAAAGATACTGATAGCAGAGAATTAAACCAAGTGCAGGACCCTTCTAAGCACCAAGCCCTGTGCAGCTACCTGGGTTGAATGCTCGTGAAGCTGGCCTTGACAATGGTAATAGCCGCATCTACCTTTTATTGTGTCTTTACTATGTACCTGGCTCTGTGCTAAGAATCTTAACACATTATATTATTTAGGCTTCCTAATAACTCACTCATTGACCACACTAGTGGTTTCA